AAGCACACGGGCTCCTGCAGGCCGTGTCGGAGCTCGGCCTCCAGGACAGGGAGCACCCAGGTGGCAGGTGGGCTGGTGGGGCGGGGTGGTGGACAGAGACCAACCCAGAGGACTGGGAGCCAGGACTGAGGGGCGATCCTGGGAACCTTTGCAGGGGACCACACTCTGTGTGGGCATTGGCAGGCTGAGGGCACAAGTCCCATGATTTGGATGTTATTAAATGGTGATGACACCTGGGCACTTGGGTGCATCAGGCTCCATCAGGCTCTTAATTTGTAAATGGGACTGGAGTCAGGAGCTAAACAGAACTGAAGTTAGGAAGAACCCAGCTCTGGCGCGTGCTGGCTGGGTCGGCCTTCAGAGTGTGAGTCATTTCGTCACACAACAAACACAGGCTGTTCTGCTTATGCAAGAGTCGCATCCCAAAGGAAACCTCGATTTAGCGATCACTGCGCTGTACAAGTAATGACTGCCATGAGAAAAGGCGGGTGGTGTGTGGGGTGAGCTCCCAGCTGACCAGACGCGGATTCCCCAGGGAGGGTGTTTGACTCCAGATGCCCGGCCCCATGTCCAGAGACCCAGACTAAGGGGGTCCAACAGGTGCCGGGTAAGTAACCCGCTGCTCGGGTTGAGGACCTCTGGACGGGGCAGTTTTACATTTGCAAATATGCATGCTTCCTACAGGGATTTTAATTAATAAAGCTTTTCTTTTTTCCCAGTAAAAATCTAAAATAATCGAGAGCGATCACATTCAGCTTCAGCTACCAAGAAATGTCCCTTCCTTGTGGAACCTCTTCACCTTCCGATCACATCCTGCGTGATGAGAACGCAGCAGGACTTGACTCTCCCTCGATTCCCAAACTCCCAGAGGGGCCAGGACCAGGCTGAGGCTCTCAGGAACCCCGGACACAAGCCCAAGGCGGGGCTCGAGCTCGGGTCATACAGGTGTGGGGTTGGCACCTGGGCGGGTGTCGCCTTCAACCTCGTGCCCTGGGCTCCAGTTGGCCTCATGCTGGCTCCCTACCCGACGCCACCCTCCCCCGGGGACCACCCCCTCTGAGCCTTTCTGTGGCGTTTGTGATGCTGACTCAGGTGGCAGGCTTAGAGACGGACCCAGAGGGGGCAGATGAGGAAGAGAGACTTGATAAAGCAGGTCAATGAACTTAGTAATGGGGCGCCGCAGAGCGTCGAGGCGGCTTTGGTGCTCGTGGAGAGGAGATGAGGGACACCTGTCCGGGGAGCTGTTCCCAGGGGTGCCCTGGGGCAGGGCTGGGGGGTGGGCCAGTGGCAAGAACCACGAGACACCCGCCTCCTCAGGGGAGTTTAACCCTGACTGGGCACTAGAGAAATACGGGTAAGTTTTCTAAGCATGACAATGTAGGGCTGTGTGCTTTTAATTTAAAGTGCCTTTATCTTCTGGGGCGTGGAAACAAAGACCTCCTGAAGGAGGAAAGCCCAGTCTACCCAGGGGCAGTCTGCTCCAGCAGGGGGGTCGGCCTCCAGCGCCATCGTCTGGCAGGCCGAGGGCTAGGGCGGCTTTATCGGCGCCCCAAGCTGGGCGTCCTGTGCGCAGAGTGAGGCAAGTGGACTTGGCCTTCCCCGGTCACAAGCCGGAAGTGGGGACAAGGATTAGGGAAGCTGGCAGTTCACTTTGAAGCAAGTCCTGGCCATCTGGGACCAACTGTGACCGGGTTTGTTGCTGGGCTTCCTGGACTGAACCAGAGGCGCAGGCTGGCTTCCTCCCAGGCTAGTAACTCTCAGCCTGCCAGCTTCCAGAGCCACTTACTGAAGACAGCAGGTTGGTTTCCTGGGCTGGTTGCTGCAGGTTGCGGGCCAGAGATCTCTTCTTATGTCTGGTCCAGCCATTGTATAATATATTCAGCCTCTCAGCAGATATAGACTAGCACACCCTCAGATGAAATGAAGTGCCATGCGGGTTTGCTTTCAAATGACCAGGAAGCGGGGAGCTGGGGCATCTCCATGGGTCGGGACTGCTATGAGCTGATGACGCTGCCTGAAGCCAGGTGACGGGTCCATGGATGTTCTTACATGCTTCCCACTGCTTCTGGGCACCTTTACAACCTCTTGTAACAAAGCTAGAAACCACCCAACCACAGAGCTCTTTCCCATCCCTGGCTGCCTGGAGCCCCCACCTCCTCAGCTGCCCCTGCCCGTGCCGGTCTTCTGCAGGATGCTGGGTTCTTCCACATTGTTGCTTTTAGCACAACTCTGAGGTTGGCTCCACAGAGTCCCTAAACCTTGCTGCCTGTATGCGCAGAGCCACTTTCAGGGCTTACCAGGTGCTCAGAGAACCCTCAGGAAATGAGTGAGTCCAGAGAGCCAATGACTGCGTGAGGGCTTCCTGGTCCCTCGGTCTGGGCTGGGCACCCTCGTTACCCACCCACCCCAGGGGCTAGAAGCTCCCAGGAGCAAGGAGAAGGCACTCATCTTTGGGTCTCCCGTGGTTTGGCAGGAGGGTGCTTGGCACATAGGAGGTGATTGGTAAGTGTTTCGGCCACCACTTGGAAATTTCAAAGATGGAGATGTCTTGGTTAACACCAACTGTGCAAGTGAATTCCATATAGGAGGCAGAGCAGAGATTAACAGGAGAAAATTACATATTTGAAGGTATTATTGCTGCTTGCAAAAGAGAGCTATAAAGGCTCTGGATCAGCAGCACTTTAAAGACAACGCTTAATGAGCGGCCTCGCAGGCAGGCGGCTCCGCGGCAAGGCCATGCGCCCCCTCGCCTCCTTAGAACCTTCCCCTCCTTTATTAGTCCTGATGCCCCGGCCTTTCATCTTCCCCCCACCCGAGCTTCCGAACCAAAGAACCCCAACAAGACACCCTTGAAAGCACTTCGATGTGGTCTGATAATTAGAGTAATGAAACCCAGGAGGAATTTCCTTAAACTCCCTCCTCGCTGTTGAATTTTATAAACCTAATAAAAGCATCTTTATCCTAGAAATCAGCCTGCCTCCCCCACCCTGGAAAGTTTAGCTTCTGCAGGAAATGAGATAACCACTTTCTTTCTAAAACCGTATTCCCAACCCTAGAGCTGCCATCCCCCAAACTCCAACCACACACTCTGACTCCGGCAAGACATGGGGGCTGGGCAGGGGCATCACTTGCTTCCCTGAGAGTCCTGGCCAGGGACGTGGGGACAGCAAGTGCTCTGGATTAAGCGGTTTTAGAGCTGGTTCACCAGCTGGGAAGGTAGAGAGGCTGGTCTTGCTGAGTGAGGTTTTCTTTCTCTTCCATTAAATTGTTACTTTCAGCAAATCAGCAAATTTGAGGTTGGGGGTTTGCCTAAGTGACTCATCATCTCCAGGAATGTCCTCACCCCGGCAGGCCCTCCTGCCCACGCCCGTGCTCCAGGGCCTCGACACACCCACTTGCACACCCCTCACCAGAGCTGGCAGGGCCACCTGACCAGCGGACCCATGCAGCTCCCTTTTCTGGAAACTTGGCCTTGGAGCTGCCTCTGGGGATGGTCTGAGCTGAAGACACAGGAAGCGGGATGAGGCAGGCGGTCATGAGCAAGCAAGGACGACAGAGATGAAGGGACACAGAAGACGAAAGGAAAGCCGCAACGAGAATGGACAAGGGACAAGCGACTGCATAGGGCGGAGCAGGCCAAGGTGCTGCCAAGGTTCCGGCCTCAGAGACAGGGAGGTGGGCGTTCCCTCCAGCCGGAGCCCAGGAGTCACTGAGTCCACCTTCAGATTCCCTTTCCTGCCCGGGCAGCCCGGGTGAGTCTCTGCTACTTACAACCATGGGCTGGCCACGAGAGTCATCCCCCAGGCCATCACTCACAGGCTGCCCATGAGGCCTGGAAGCTTCCTTCCATGTTCTTGGAGGAACAGTGACCACACATGGTCACTATCTGGTCAAGAGCCTGCCCATGAGTGAAGGTGAAGACGGGAGGCAACCAGCCCTCAGCCACAGCCTCTGTGGAGGCTGGTGGGAGGCCCCGGTGGTCACCCCGACTGGCGGGCCGAGCGCTGGGCAGGGGAGGCCTGCACACACTTAACGCTCAGCAAACAGCAGGCTCATGGCTGCTGTCAGCCGCCTCCCCGCACAAACGAGAGAAAGCCCGGCGCGGGTGAGCACCGCCTGAAGGCACACCCCTGCTGCGCCTGTGTTCCCCACAAGCCTGACCATCAAGGCGGTGGCGCTGGGATGTGGGCCTTCGGGAGCAATTAGGCCCTGCAGATGCAGCCTCGTGAATAAGACCAAGAGGCCCCAGCACTCCCCTGTCCTCTGGCCACGGGAGGCCATGGTGAGACGATGGCTGTCTCCTGGCACTGAGTCTGCGGGCGCCATGACCTTGGACTTGCCAGCCTCCAGGAGTATGTGGGAGACTGCTTCCGGGCCACCCAGTCTGTGACAGCAGCTGGCATGGACTAAGGCATCCCCTTATGCTCCAAAGGGGAGTTTTTGAAAAGATATTTGGAAATTTCTGTTTGTATTTAAGAGAACCAACATGCTTAAGCCCTAAGTTTCCCTTTTAAAAAGGTCTTTAAAGGACAGTGGTGGTGGGATTGTAGAAACAGACCCCCAGCCTCCGGGGATGCCACGGGGCGCCCTCCCCGAGGGGTGGAAGGAAGTGCCTCTGAGCTACAATACAGGGAGAGCTGGACCACTGCCCTTTACGCTCCCCACCAGCTCGGGCCTGCCAGGTCCTGGAGCTGGCCAGCAGGCAGAGCACCTGCGGATGGAGGCCCCACCAGCCCTGCGCATACCCACTAGCTCTGGCTGGCCCCGAGCAGAGCAGGGCAGGCCTGCCACCCTCCACGCTCACTGTCGCTGAGGCTGGCGCACCACGAGCCCCACCCCCGGCAGCCCCCGGGAGCTGTGCCCTACTGAAGACCTCTTCCCTTCCTTCGGTCCCGTCCTGCCTAGGTCTCATGTCACCCCAACCCACCAGGAAGTAGAAAGAGTGTGGCAGCTGATCGGGGTGCCTTTCCCATCCTGTTTCCCAGAACCTGTCATCCTACCTTGAACTTCTGATAATGCATCCTGGCGTCTGCCGCCAGAGGGGAATACTCCTTTGCTATCAAGCTCTCCACGCTGAGAAGATTGGTGCTCAGATGTTTGGCAAGCCACATAGCCTGAAGAAAGGAAGGGGGAAAAGAACATTTTTGTGGAAGGAATGACTAAGGAGGATGCCATTCCAATGCCCGGGTCCTTCCATATTCTACCAGGAAGGGCTGGCCACAGGGAAGTGTCATCGCTTCTGGCTGGAGGAGGCCACCGGGGAAGACAAACCCACAGAATCCCTCCCAGCCACAGGATGCTGCTTGCCTGCCATTTCTTCTTCAACCGGCCACTGACTCCACGTGGACCTGGAAGACCTACGCTTTACTGCCCTGGGACTGCCTTTTCAAGCTTTCTGGACCACGAGTTCTTAACTCAAAGTCTAAACCAGGAAAGAGGGGGACAGGCCCTAAATAGGGGTCACAACACGCACTCCAAGTTCATCTTTTCTTAAAGGTTGGGAGACACATGTCCATGCCAAGTCAATGTTTATTTCACCGATGACCACTCTGTATACTCTGCCAGGGAAGAATACATTTTAAAGAATAACCATGCAGCCAAATGTTCTTAACACCAAGATTACACTGATGACTATTTCAGCATCAGGATGGTTCAGAAGGCCCGGGGGGTCCCCCGGGACAGGTGTGAACCTTAATCTCTCTGGTCCTCTCTGTTGAGAAGTGTCAACGACGAAATCAGGAAACATCCTGCTAGGATTTTACTATTATCATCTTCCTGTAAAATTAGATTCTGTGTGTTCCACAAGTGGACAGGGGCGGGGACTGTGAATCTGCTGAAATAATTGTGGCTGAAACACCAGCTACTGCCAGTGGCTGCGGGGTCCCAGGCCTGGGAGTCCATGGTTTCTCACGGGGAAATGGAGACTGGGAGGGAAGATTCAGAGAGTCAAAGCTGACAGCCTGGATCTGAGGGACCAAGTAGAAGAACTACAGAGAGACAGACAGATGGATGAATGGATGGACAGATAGACAGATGACAGATAAACAGATGAGCTGGCGAGTCTAACTCCAAAAGCAGGGTAGATGCAGGAGGCTTTATGTACGGACCAGCCATCTTGATTCCTTTTCAGAATAAAACGAGGTGCCAGCTGGTCAGAGACAGCCTGCGGGCCCAGGCGGAGCGCTGACAGTGATGACATAGTCTTCCAGAGTCTACTGATGTTTTGTTTTTTAATTGAAGTATACAGTTGATTTATAATGTGTTCGTTTCTGGCGCACAGCGAAATGACTCAGATATGCGTAGGATTCTTTCCGTCTTTCCCATTATTGTTGTTCAGTTGCTAAGTCATGTCTGACTCTGTGACCTCTCGTGGACTACAGCATGCCAGGCTTCCCTGTCCTGCACTATCTCCGGGAGTTTACTCAAACTCACATCCACTAAGTCAGTGAACCGGGTCTCCAGCATTGCAAGGAGATTCTTTACTGCCTGAACCACCAGGGAAGCCCCTTTCCCATTTCAGGTTATCACAAGACATCGAATATAGTTCCTTGTACTGTACAGCAGGTCTTTGTTGTTTATCATTAACTTATGGAACCTGATGTTCACTATCCAGGCTTTTTTAAAGAACAGAAAGAGTTCCATCTCAGATGATTATAATTTGAAGATGTTTTTGGTACTTAACAAAGGAGGTGAAAGATCAAAACCATACAGGGAACGAAGTTTCAGCTTCAGGACAGAGGCTGTCTCCAGTGAGGGAAGACAGAAAGGGAGAAGTGAAGTGGGATGAGGTATCTGCTCTGTCTTGAAAATTCCACTGTCTTTGAAATGGAGAGAAAATCATGGCAAATGTGGCAAAATGACAAGTCCCTGTAAAATCTGGGAATTGGGTACATGAGTCTCTCTGGGACTGTTTCTCTGCTTTTCTGACTGGTTGAAACACTGCATGATTAATATTTTAGTGGTGAACCCAAAGGTTCTATACCAAAAGTCTTTGAAACAAGTGTGCTGTTTGACCCAGCCCTTCCCCTTCTGGAAACGTATCCTGAAGGTGGAACGATGGGTGTGCCCAGACGGTGGACACGTGGCCATGAGGATACCCTGGCAGGCACAGCTCACGTTCAAAGAATGCTCCTCACTGTGTGACTGGGGAACGCTGTTTCTGTTTTTGTATTTTCTAGGTTTTCTACTACAAACACACGCTGCCTCTTGTAATGAGAAAATAACTTAGGAAGCAGGAGAGAGAAGAGATGAAGAAAGTCTCATGTTGAAAATTCACTGAGGGGCAGCCTCAGCCCAGCTTTGCAGGGTAAATGAGATATTACTGTATTACCACAGTTAATATGATACACTTACTATGGTTGTTTTCCCCGAGGCAGGTGGACCTAATATTATAATCTTCGGCACTGTGGAATAAAGAGATTTGAATGTCACTGTTCAGTATGACAAAAAAACAAACAAACAAAAAAAAAACACCTCCCGTGTCTGCAGAGCTCTGGGTATATTTATTTCTCTCCTCTCCAGATTTCATTTTCTGGGAGTGATGCGGTCGTTTGTAACCCAGTTGTTCTGAGACACTCCCACCATAGAACATATCCTGTGTTTAGAGAGGTAAGTGATCACTGAGATGGTTTATTCTTCTGTCTCCAAGGGGACGTGGACATGGTAACTTGTTTGCCGAACTAATAAATATCCAGAACAATTGGGATTTCAAACACCATAAAGCATTTTAAACAGGGACTTTGTCTCAGGGACACGCTTTCAAATAAAGCTGTATTTTATGTAAATCGACCTTCAAAGGTGTTTTTTTTTTTTTTTAATATTTATGCCTTTTTATTTAGCAAGTTGTGTTCCCCATCATGTTACAGAAGGAAATAATGGGGGAAAGCCTGGAGTGTATGAGCCAGATTTATAAAACCCCAGATAGGAAAGGCTTTGTTTTCAAACATGGATATTTCTATGCAAATGGATACCGCTGGCTTCAGAGTGGCACTCCTGGCTCTGGAAGGTTCCTGGCCCCACAGAAGCCCTAAAGACACCACTGGACTAGTGAGTAGGTACTGGCCATTGGAAAAGAAGGAAAAAAAGCACAGCGTCTAAAGAAGAGGGCTGGAAGGTGTGTGCTTGGGTTAAAACACGGCAACAGGATGTGGTGTGTGGACAGGCGACTCCAAGCTGGTTCCTCCCCAGCTCCCTGTGGGGAGCGAGGGGCGTTCAGCACCTGGAGGAAGGAGGGTGGAAGCCGGCCTCTGGCTCCGCCTGTCGGCCGGGCCCCCTCCCACCCCCAGGGACAGGTGAACAGGTGTGCACAGCAATCCACGGGGCCCGTTCCTGCCAGGCCTCCGAGAAGGAGCCGCGTCCATACAGAGACCTCCTAGTTTGAGAGTGGACATGGAGAAGGAACTGGAGGGTCCGTGTGGCTCCTGAACTCATCATCAACACAGCGGTACCCAGTCAGGCTGCTTGGGTTTGAAGAGACTTCTGCCCCACCCCACAGCCCTTTCTCATTTTCAGGGAAATTGTTGAGGGCAAGTTCAAGGTAATTCGCCAATTCACTCCACATACACTCATTGAGCACCTCCTCCAAACTTGCACGGGGCTGAGTACTGCTGGGAAGAGCACGGTGGCCCATGCCAGGTAGGCGAGGTGATTGCTTCCGCCAGACCTGGGAGGGAGCGGGGCCTCTGCTGGGTCTCCGCAAGGGAGCAGTCTCTCCGAGGACCACGAACGAGGCCGCACACACGTCACCACTGGTGCTGGATTCCTGCGTGTCCCTAGCGGATGGCTTTAGAACAAACACTGTCGCGGCCCTCCTTTCTAAACCTGGTCCATTGGCCCCACGGTGTGAAATGTAGGTAACTTGCTCCTTGCAAGCCCAGAGCCTTTCCTGGGCGGGCGATGCAATCAGGGATGAAGGATAGGAGGGTGCCTACTGCTGGGACGCGTGGCCATGCTCCAGCCCAGCAAACCCCTGCACGCCCCCTCCCCTCCAAGCCACACTTGGCTGGTGGCCCTCCCGCCCTCCGCAGCTGCCAGGGTTCTTCTGGCCAAGGTGGGCCCTGTGTCCCCTTAAGTCCCCGGGGACCCCTGTTGAGGGGCCTGACCTCCACAGGAGCCGGGATGTGCCCTGGGCACCCTAGGAGCCGCTCCCACCAGGGATCCAGGTCACCCAGGAGTCCTGGGCGAGCCCCTCCCTTCATCTTGGACTTCCTTGCTCTGATGACACTCTTCCTGTCTTCCTACCTGGTCACCTGTCACCTCCCCAACAGGGGTGTCCTCCTCACCCCCTCCATGCAGCCCCCAGCCCCACTGGGCTCCTCCCCCGGGATTCTCCTGACTGAGGGCTGCTGCTGCCGCGCTAAGCCCCGTCCCCCTGCTGAGCAGTGGAGAGGGTGTCCTGGCTGCAGGGAGCCCGTCTTGCCCTCCGCTCCAGCAGCTAGAACTGCGGGGAGCCACGCACACAGTAGGGCCTCCGACGGCCTCCTCCTCAGCTGTCCCCTCTGTGGCCGCTGAGTAACTGGCCGCCTCTGTCACCACCATTCCTGCCTCCTGGCACAGGCATCTTCTGCCAGTTGGCACCCTTGGGAGCCGCAGGACGCAGACGGGGCTGAGTCGAGTAGAGGCGGGTTTATTCACAGGCCAGCGTGGCTCAGAGAATCCCTTCCGGGCAGGAGCCAGGCCCAGGGCCACCCACAGGAGCAAGGCCCCAAGGGCGGCCACCGAAGGGCATGGGGGGACAGCCCTGCCGCCCTGGACGCCCGGCCTGGCAGCCTGAGCCCAGAGTGCCGTTCACACACAGGGCCCATGGGGGCTGCCCCGCCGCCACCCGGCCACAGCCACCCGTGGGCCCTACAGGCCGCCAAGGAGAGCACCTCCCAGAGTGCATCCAGAGTCTGGACTCCACGGGGTGGTGAAGCTCAGGACGCAGGCCCAGGGCAGGCGAAGCACGTTCAGCTGCAGGGCTGGGAGCCAGGACAGGGCTGCATGGCCCGGCCTCTCTCTGGCCTTGGAACCCGGGCAAGGCCTTCCCAGGTGCCCCGACTGGAGGAGAGAAGCCGCAGAAGGTGGGTGGGTCTGGAAATGAGGTGGCTTTGGGAACACCTGATCAGGGCAGATTGGAACTAGGGTGCCAGGGGAGGTTGAGGGGAGGGGCAGTGTTAGGGCAGCAAGGAGGCGGGTCAAGGGTGGTGGGGCCTGGTGTGTTAGGGCACAGAGCTTGCTCAGACCATGGGGAGAACGCCCGCTTGCCAAAGCCAGAGGAAGGCAGCGCTGGGCGGGGCGTGTGGGGGGTGGGCTGTGGGTCCGGCCCTTGTGCCCGTCACCCTGCTGCCTCTCCAGGGCTCCAACCCCAGGCCTCCACCATAGGACCCTAGAACTTAGGGCGGACCCAACAGGGCTCGGGGTCCAAGGGACCGAGGAGAAGGGGGACTGCACCTTAACAACAGCGTTTTGGGAACAAGCAGACTCCCAAGTCATACGCTCATTTTGACAAAGTTAGAAGGTTCCACAGCTGCTGGGGAAGCCCCCCGCCCCAACCCCGGCCCGCCTTCCGGGCTCCTGTAAGTGGCACCCAAATTGTACACATCTCTGAAAATACTTTAAAAGGGGAACATTCGCACGGCCTTTCTCTCCACCTAATTTCTCGCACACATTTATGTGATTAATTTCAGTTTCTTAAAATCTAACACCTTGAAACCCCAGCCCTGCTCATGAGTAATTATTTATAAACAGTGTCATAAAAGGCTGCTTGACTGCCAAGAGTAATCAACTTCTTCAACCCACTTCAAAGGAAATCAAAAACCTTTCCATCCACAGAGCCTTTTGAGGTTTAACTAGGAGCATGATTTAAAATTCACAAGAAAACCCTTAGGTATTGGAGCTCTAATACACAGCTTTCTTGGACAAACGTTTGATAAAAAACGAAGCACACCATTATATACACCATCGCCTGCTTTAACATTGCCCAGGGCTACTATAAACGCTCACTTTGTACTAAATCTGCTTCTCTCGCAGCAAAGGGGCTGCCAGCCCTGTGTCAGCGGCGCCCCGCCCCCTCACGTGCACGCCCCATGCCAGGAGTCCAGGGGCTTCTGCCCTCTACACTGGCCACTGGCCACGTCGCCACACCTCACAGGGAACCCCCACCCACCCAACATGCAGGCCGAGCCGGCAGGGCGTTGGATGCCTGGCTGCAGGTGACAGAGGCCGCTGTATGGCTGGGAGAAGGCAAGACCGACTGACCCACAAGCCCAGGGTCGCAAGAATGCTCGCTGGACACCAGGGAACCTCTCCACACTCCCTATCCTCTTCTAGAACCATGAGGGCGCGTGAAACTCTTTCCAGCTTCCCCTCTCCTAGAGAAATCCTGGAAGCGTGGTCCTCCCCCATCTTCCTCGTCCTCCCCTCCTTCTCCCGTGTCTTTGCTTCACCGGGAGGTGGAGGCCTGGGCATGGGACAGGCACCAGAGATGCCCTCTCTTCACTTAAGCGGTGGGACTTGAGCCAGAGGGCGAAGATGTGCCCGCGCCCCTCCGAGCTGCTGGCCCAAGGCCTGGGAGTGGGGGTGGAGGGCTGCAGGAACCAGTCGACCCCTCTGAACTGTGGTTCCTGGGATCCAATGACTCGACTCCCTGAGACAGTGTCTGGGCCAAAAGCCTAAGACTCCAGGTGTCGGGGAGCACAGTCAGGAGCCCCCCACCCTTAGCTCGAGCTGAACGAAGAGGGTCTGAATTCTCCACCCCGCTGGAGAGGGACACAGCGGTGTCATGTGGAGAAAGGAGGAAGGGCTCTGTGGAGGGCAGCCTGCAGATAAATGGAAAGGGATGCTGAGGGGGTGTGAGGGGGTGGGGAGGGGACAGGCTGCGGCCCAGGGCACGGGACAGCCAGCGCCTGAGATGAGCGCCCAGCTGACGACACCTGCATTGCAGCTAAAACAGAATGGTGATGTCTGAACTTCAAAATTCTGGCAAAGTGGTCAGTTCAACACTGAAAAGTCATAACTGCACAGAGAGGAGCAAGATAAAAGTGTAAAGACGAGTGGTACCCTGGAGGTCAGGCTCTTGAAATTCTAGCGGGGAGACTGGTGAAGCTGTGAGGTTGGCAGCAGGGGCACACACAGCGTGGCACACACGCCCCTGAACAGAACTCTTCAAGCTGGAAGTCGGAAGTGCCGCTGCAACCCAAATCAGAGTTCAAAGCGTTCTTTTCCCAAGTACGGTTTTAGTTGTACTTGGGCTTCGCACAAGTGGACACTTGCACAGCACCACCTGGAGCCCAGCCGGAGCCTCCAGGCCTCGGCATCCCTTCCACTGACACCACCAGGGACCAGGATGGGGCTCGGCTGCCTCCATCTCAGCGACCAGACATGCCCGTTTTACAGAGGAGGAAACTGAGGCTTTATCTGGCCTTCAACTTTTCCTTTCTTTTGACTGTGTGCTGCTTTATTGATTGGGCGAAGGTGGGGGGCGGCATGAGAGGGGAACACGGGCAGAAGTGCCCCCCACATCCCTCAGTTAACAGAGCTTACAACCCCAGCTCCAAACGGCCTGGGGGCGGGTTAGGGGGTAAGGCTGCAGGAACACCTTCCTCCAGACAACACAGGCTACTTGGTGAGGCAGAGGCGGTGAGCGGGGATCTGCAGCAGGACCACCAGGAAGCAAGCGGGCTTCTCACCCCCACAGAGCAGGGGAGCCTCCCTCCCACCCACACCAACCAGAGGACCAGGTAACCGAGGCCCTTAGACGAGTCCCTGCAAGGCAGAGCAGAACAACCCCCGGCCCTGCCATCCAGGCTCAAGTCTCCACCTGGGGCACCTCAGCAGCTCACACCCAGCGTAGACGCACAATTCTGCCTCCCTGGAGGCTCAGGAAAGGACAGTGTGGGGGTGCTCCATGCCACATCGCACTGCCCCACTCTGGTCTCTGAAACAGCCCCTCATTCCCATGGGCTGGGCCCGCCCGGGACCAGCGGGCAGGCCCCCAGAAGAGGCCAGGCGTGCCTGGCAGCCTGCGGGCTCCGAGTCTCCTCTCTCTCACCCTTTTTTTAAAAAACTACCTTGCTTCCTTTCTCATCTGAAGCCTCTGCACCCCGCCACGGGCATCTCAGGCACCACTCATTTCACTGCTGCGCCGGGAACACCTTCAAAGCAGCTAATGCTCCAGTGAAAGAAACATCAAAGCTCCGGGACACCGGCCTCCCTGACAGCTCACGCGGGACGGCCAGGCTCCTTCGCTCGGCAAACTGACCGCAGGACAGAGCGCCTCCTCTCCCTCCTCCCTGCCAAAGGGCGCCCGCCTTGGGTCTGGCTGGCCTGCATTCATTTGGGTGAGGTTTGGGGGAGCTCTGGAACTCATTAACAATAGCCCATAACAAGACCATCAGGAAGAGCTGAGCGCGGCCTGTCTGGGTAGACCAGAAGCCACACTTACACCTGACAAGTGGAGTGATCACAGAGCTTAAACCCAACAGGCGACATAAGCTGGGGCGTGCCAAAGCATTAATAATTGATTCTGTGGGCCATTCTGAGGTTTTTATTTTAATCACTTGGCAAGAGCATTTGTATGAGTTGTGCTCCAGAAGAAATTAAGGCATTTTTTTCCATTAACCATCTCCCCAAGTGGTCAAAACCTGTCTCCACCCCTGCTCTGACCTCCCTTTTAGGCACAGGGAGGGCAGAGTGGTTCCCAGGAGGCAGAGGGGAGGGACAGTTGGGAACGGGGTGGGAGAGGGAGAGGCCCACTCTGGCGCTCACCATAATCGTTGTCTCGTTGCAAATGATCAATCATGAATGGGATGGGGTCCTTGGGCTGGTGGATCAGGAGCTGCTCCAGCATGTTCTGTGGACACAGGCAGACATTCAGGGGGTTGATGCCTGCATGGGCACCCAAGGTCCCAGGCTCTGGTGGCCAAGCAACCTGGCATCGCTATGGATACCAGTTATGAGGCCTGATCTCTCCCCTGCCTCCCACCCTAGTGCGTGTCTGCCTCGGTCCCTGGGAGCAGAGGTGTGAGGGAATGGCCACATGGGTTTTGCTGGGGGTGGGTGCACCTGGAGGGAGGCGGAGCTGGAGGGAAGCGCCCTTGACTCAGAGCAAGCAGTCCTGGGGCCCTTGCCTCTCAGCTCCTTTGTGGCCCCGCCAGACCAGCCTTCTCTCCATCCCTCTCCTGCAGGGCACCCATCCACCCCTCAGAGCCCTTGCAGATGTTGTTCCCTCAGCATGAAGCACTTTTCCCCATGACGCTCACTAGGTCAATCCTGTGGCACGCTCCTGTGGCCCCCACGCATCCCCTTTCCTGCCTCCTCCGCATCTCGGTGCCCAGCACAACCACAGAAGGGGCCCCACACAGAACGTGTGCTGGGGGACGTGGCCGCTGCGGCTATCTGCATCTGTCCAGTGTGGGACAGGGTATGTACTAGCCAGGTATCTAAAGAGTCCTGGGATTGTCTGGTCATTTAATTCTAAAGTAAAGCAGCTTCCATGGTTCTAGAACAAAAGGCACAGAAATGAACCAGGTGGCTGCGAGCAGTGCCAGTGCACGAAGGAGCAGCCTTCTGCCCTGGGGACAAGCAGGCAGGGGCTGCAGCCTTTTGTGGGAAAGTGGAGAATGGTGCAGTAGAAACAGCACTGGATGGTGAGAAGGCCCAGCCCCACTCAGCATCCTACCAGTCCCTTCCCCTGTCTGGGCCTCAGCTTCCACACCTATTAAGACACAGCTGGACACCATCCAGGGTGCTATTGTGTGGGTGAGACCGTGTGAGATGATTCTAGATAGCTCACACATGAATATTCTAAAATTTAATTTTAAACAGTTGTGTATCTGATGTGTATTAGAAAAATGAGTACATCAAACCTTAGGATGAAGTAAAATAAGTTAACTTTTAAAAGTGGACTGATTTAAAGAAATGGTGAAGTTAAAATGGAAGTATGTTGTTGGTTTCATGAATCTATACCTGTGATAAGATTTCAGTGTGTGGTGTGTGCATGTGCGCATGCTCAGTAACTCAGTCGCAACTGAGTCTTTGCAACTCCATGCACTGTAGACTGCTGGGCTCCTCTGTCTATGTAATTTTCCAGGCAAGGATACTGGAGTAGGCTGCCATTTCCTTCTCCAGGGGATCTTCCCCACCCATGGACTGAACCTGCATTTCCTGTGGCTCCTGCATTGACAGGTGGATTCTCTACCACTAAGCCACCTGGGAAGCCCAAAATTTCACAGACTCATACGAGAAAAAAAAAAATGAGTGCTGGTAAAAATGGATGAAATTCAAATAAGGTCTGTAGTCTAGTTAATAGTATTGTATCTGTGTCAATTTCCTGGTTTTGACAATGCACTACCCTTACGTTAGATGTTATTACTGGGGGAAGCTGGCGGAAGGACACACTAGAATTCTGTGCTACTTGTGTAACTTCCGGTGGGTCCAAAATCATTTTAAAATAAAAATGCTAAAAACTGAAAATGGTGAAAAACCATGTAGGGAGCACAGAAATGACTAAGGACTGGAAATAATGGACTAAAAGCTTCCTTAGGCTACTCCTTCCAACAATTGCTATGAGAGACACCAGATTCCCTAAGAGCAGACCAGGGTGCCCCCAGGACTTGCCCGTGTCCTGCTCGCCACCACTGTGGACTTAGGACTCAGCTAGCCATCTCCTCCACTTAGATCAGCCACTCAGTTTTAGAAATCTCTCATGCGCCCTCTATCAGTGAACACTTTCCAAAGGAAGCGTATGTCTGCAGGAGAGATAGAGACGTGGGTTTCTTACTCTGACCTCTGCTCTCGGAGCTGTCAGACACTCAAAGAGCCACAGGCATCACTGAGGAGGTGCCTCTGGGGATGGGGGTCTACCCGGAGGAGCAGACAAATGCTCCGGCTTCCCTCTGGCCCTCAGAACCTGAGTGGCTGAGAGATCCTCCAGTCCAGCTCCCAAAGCCTTCACTTCCCCAGGCTGCCTGGGTCGGGAAGATCCCTTGGAGAAGGAAATGGCAACCCACTCCAGTATTCTTGCCTGGAAAATACCATGGAGAGAGGAGCCTGGCAGGCTACAGTCCATGGGGTCGCAAGAGTCGGATACAACTTAGCGACTAAACCACCACCCCAAGATGCAGAAGGGAAACCCGGAGAACAGGCTGGGGCGTGGCTTTGCCTCAGGTCACACAGGCAGTGGATCAGTCAGGTCGAGAACTCAGGGTGAGGGCTTGGAAGCTTCCCTGAACGCTTGGCTGTGAGGAGAAAGGGCCGGGTGGGAAAAGCTGCTGTCCACACCACAGGGCTGCTGTCCCAGGAGGCGGGCCTCTCAGAGGATGGAGAGGCCACCTTCAACTCCGACACTCCCCAGCTCAGACACAACACCGCAGCCAGCCTGGGAATGGTCAGCATCCGATGAGTCCCTTGGAAACCACCTCTTGCAACCTCGCGTTTCACAGACAGGGGAACTAAGAAAAAGAAAGGAACCTCTTCCAGGTCATCGACTTGACTGGGTCGGAGCAAGGGTCCAGTCACGGCCGGGATGGCCTGCCCCCTTTTCCTCCCTCCAGGGCCAGCTGAGTAGGGTCAAGGAGCATCTTTCGGTCGAGGGGTCCCTTGGGGATACGATGACATAGTCGTGTCGGACACCCCAAGTACGGCGGCCTCGTGGCTAACAGACGTGACCCCTCCCAGATGTAGGGTCGCCAGCGCGCAGCCGGACCGCCTCCAAGAGGGTCCCCGGCCACCGCCTGGTGTCGCGATAGGACAGGGCTGCCCGGGTCACCTGCATCAACTCGAAGACGTGGTTCGCCTCCCCATACTGGGGCATTTGCGGGGGGATGCGGTGAGGGGCGGTGGTCGCGTCCATGCTGCTTCGCAGCGCGGCCGCTCCGTGGGGACCGCTGTCGCTAGGCCTCGCGTCATCAGCACCCGCAGCTCCCTGGGGACCAACGTCGCTAGGGCCACGTCGTCATCAGCACGCGCCGCTCCCTGGAGACCGCCGTCTCCAGGGGCGCCACGCGACTGCGTCATCAGCACGCGTCGCTCCCGCACCCCCACCCCCACCCCCACCCCGGGGCGAGGCTGGTGCCGGGTCTGGCTCCGGGTCTCCTCAGCCGCATGAATCAAGTGCTCCCCAGCCCCGGCCTCGCCCCCCGACTCTGCGCGCCTCAGCGGGGAACCCCAAGTCTCCTCCTGCTGCGGCCTCCTGGTTCAGAGGGCCCCCTCCTGCGCTGAGACACTCTACAGCACTCCGAGGGCACGTCGGCCCGGGAGAGGCGGGAGGCGGATCCTACTTCTGTTTCCGCCAAGGCGCCCCGGCCCAGGCGTTCCGTTGCTCCTTGAGCTACCCCAGCTCCGCTCTCTGGGCCTCAGTTTCCCCGTCTTTAAAAGGAAGACCCTGGGGTAGATGTGGGGCCGTTCAGCTCCGGCGCTCAGTCGTGTCCCACTCTGCGACTCCCATGGGCTGAAGCACGCCAGGCCTTCCCTGTCCATCACCAACTCCCGGAGATGTGGGGCAGGGTGTTTGAAAAAGGAGGGACGGGTGTGTCCCTCGACCCCGGGGACCAGCCGGCAGCTCCGGGGGCGGAGGCGGGGCTGCCACGTGACCCGATTGCTATGGCAGCGGCGGTAACAATCAGGCCCGCGGCCCCGCCCCTTCTCACACCCACCCCACCCACCCCTCCGCCCAAGCCCCGGGAAGGGCCTCCCCGCCCTACCGGGGCCCGAGACACCCGCGGAGACTCTCCGGCTTCAGGGCGCTCCGTTGAGTGAAGGCCGCTCTAGGACAACCAAGGTTAAAGCAGGCCTGGGGAGGGCCACCCAAGCCCTGGATTTGGAAACTGGGGGGCGAGGGGGGTGGCGCTGGAGAATGGAGGAGGGCCGCCGCTGCCGCTGACCCAAGAGATCGATGGGGTGGTACGCGATGGGGAGAAGGAGATCTGCGAATCGTGTTCATCCCGGGTGGGGGGCGGGGGGTGGACGCCTGGTATAGGCCACGGCACTGAAATGGAAGCTCTAGCTCTTGTCCAGTTGCTCTTCTCAGGAGGAGCTGCCCGTTTTTGAGCTGTACTCTCAACAAAACTATGGTGTCTGTGCACGTTATGGAGAGGGAGCATGGCATAGTCAATGCAGACTGCGCAGAGTTCAAATCCTGACTCCACTCTCAACTAACTGCCAGCCTGCCCTGGGTCTCACTTCTCTCCCCTATGAAGTGGGGATTATGGAAGATTCCATGAGCTAATGTAACTTATGTGTAGTGAATGCACAATGCATAGCTGCTACTCTTAGTGATATTATCTCACTGAATCTTTGCACCAACCCTGAGAAATAGGTACCTTCATTCCATTTTACAGATGAGAAATTGGAGGCTCAGAATGGTGCAAAGTTGTTGGCTGAGCCATTTCCCCTCTCTTTCCTCATCAGTTGTCAATCATGGAGCATTAGAATGAATCAGAAGAGCCCTTGAGGAGCTTCTAATCCAAACTCCCTCATTTTACAAATGGATAAACTGAGGCTCTTGAGAAATCTGTATGTAGGTCAGGAAGCAATACTTAGAACTGGACATGGAACAACAAACTGGTTCCAAATAGAAAAAGGAATTTGTCAAGGCTGTATATTGTCACCCTGCTTATTTAACTTATATGCAGACTACATCATGAGAAACACTGGGGTGGACGAAGCGCAAGCAGGAATCAAGATTGCTGGGAGAAATATCAATAACCTCAGATATGCAGATGACACCACCCTTATGGCAGAAAGTGAAGAACTAAAGAGCCTCTTGATGAAAGTGAAGGAGGAGATTGAAAAAGTTGGCTTAAAGCTCAACATTCAGAAAACTAAGTTCATGGCATCCAGTCCTATCACTTCATGGCAAATAGATGGGGAAACAGTGGCTGACTTTATTTTGGGGGGCTCCAAAATTACTGCAGATGGTGACTGCATCCATGAAATTAAAAGACACTTACTCCTTGGAAGGAAAGTTATGACCAACCTAGACAGCATATTAAAAAGAAGAAACGTTACTTTGCCAACCAAGGTCCGTCTAGTCAAGGCTATGGTTTTTCCAGTAGTCATGTATGGATGTGAGAGTTGGACTATAAAGAAAGCTGAGTGCCGAAGAATTGATGCTTTTGAACTGTGGTGATGGAGAAGACTCTTGAGAGTCCCTTGGACTGCAAGGAGATCCAACCAGTCCACCCTAAAGATCAGTCCTGAGTGTTCATTGGAAGGACTGATGCTGAAGCTGAAACTCCAATACTTGGGCCACCTGATGTGAAGAGCTGACTCATTTGAAAAGACCCTGATGCTGGGAAAGATTGAAGGCAGGAGGAGAAGGGGACAACAGAGAATGAGATGGTTGAATGGCATCAGCGACTCAATGGACGAGTTTGGGTAAACTCCGGGAGTTGGTGATGGACAGGGAGGCCTGGTGTGCTGTGGTCCACGCGGTTGCGAAGAGTTGGACATGACTGAGTGGCTGAACCGAACTGAACTGAGGCCCAGAAAGGGGAAAATTCTAGGCCAAGGTCACTCATTAAATCCAAAGTAGAGCCAGCCTTCCTACGCATATTCATTGGAAGGACTGATGCTAAAGCTCCAATACTTTGGCCATATGAAGCAAAGAGCCAACTCTTTGGAAAAGACCCTGATGCTGGGAAAGATTGAAGGCAGAAGGAGAAGGGGCGACAGAGGATTGATGGTTGGATGATGTCATCAACTCAGTGGATGTGAGTTTGAGCAAACTCTGGGAGATAGTGAAGGACATGGAAGCCTGGTATGCTGTAGTTCGTGGGGTCACAAGTCAGACATAGCTGAGCAAACGAACAACAACAAAGAGCCAGCCTGGAACTCAGTTTCCTGACTCCTAGCCAAAGCCTTTGCCAGCAGTCACCAGCCCAGAGACACAGCCTCCAAGGGAAAAGGGCTCTCGCCCCCTCAGAACTGCCTCCTCAAAGCACGCACATCTTGGTAGGCTTGTCAAGTCAAATCCAAGTGCAGAGACAGCTGGGGAAGGGAAGGAAGCAGCCTCCCTCTGAACAAAGAACACAACCACCAAGCCTGCAATTTGCACTGCAGAGGTTCAGCTTGCTTCCTGGACATTTCCGAAACGACTTGCCTTTCTCCTCATTTATTTTAAGCCCTAGGCACTTTTCATACCATGATTTAATCTTCTTTAACAGCCAGGAAAAATACAAATCAATTAAAGCTGAAAATCTAGTGGGTAATCACTTTTTCCTTCCTCCTACCCCAGATCGAGAAGCGCCTGCACCCCCTGCCTTTCATCCAGACTAATTTGATTGCGGTGACTCTTGTTCAAGGGACAGTCGCTTTGGATAGCTTATTACAGCTCCCCGCACGACATTCCTGGTGCGCATGTCACAAATCAATAGGATCAAGAACCAAGTCGGTTTTGCTCTCAGGGCCTCTTGGGGCCACCAGCCAAGGTAGGGCTGTATCCCTGAAGAACTTGGCAAGCCCAGGAGGGTGGCAGGGAGCAGGATACATTGAATGCTAGTCCTCATTGCTTTGGGATGGGGAACAGAGAACAGTCTCACATAAGTGGAAGCAAGGTGTTGGGTCTGGGTCATGTAGGCCCTTGGTATCCACACCTCACCCACCCACCCACCTCCCTGCAGCCTCAGTCAATCTGGTATCTGGTGTGTTTCTCTCAATGGACCCTCACTGAGGTGAGGGGAAGAGTGGAGGTAACCAAGTAAAGATCTCGGGTTCAGTGAAATCGGGCAGGAGTGAGTGGGACATCCGTGTTTGCTCACATCCCAGCTGCCAGACCTCAGCTCTGTCGTCTGTCCTGTGGGAATAACTGTGGTACCTCATTCAATGGGCTATGGCGAGCATCTGAGATGAAGCTCGTCCAGGGTTTACCTAGAGCCTCGCTGAGTAGCCGGCTGTTACTAGGAGGATTGGGGCAAGCCACCCAGGATCTCGGTGAAGGCTGAAGCTTGGCTCCAGTCCGGCCTCCCCTGCACCTGTCCGCCTCCTGCACGTGCCCCTCCTGCAGGTCACGTAGCCCTTCTGGCTATCCCCCCACCCCCCACTTTCTTTTCTCCTGAATCTGAACTACCGTTTGCTCACTGTCTGCCTCCCACTCCTAACGTCCCTCCAGGGTAGGGACTCTTGTCTGTTTGGCTCAATGCTGTGTGCCCAGTCCAGCACCCTGCAGGTGTCTGACCCCTGGCAGGTGCTTCAGCACGAATAAATGAATGATCACCTCAAGTGCTCTGTGCCTCCTGGGCTAGAAGCTTCCATGGTTGCCCTCACAGCTCTGCCCTCATGTGGGGCCTCAGCCTCGCCCTGCCCACAGCCTCCACCCTCTGCCCAGGGCCCCACCTCCTCCGCCTGCCTGCCTGCCCACCCTCCTCTCCAAAGCCGGCCTTCTTTCCAGACCTTCCCTCCCCTAGGAGGCCGAGCCGTCGGCAGCTCCTGAGGCTTTTTCTTTGGGGGTGGGGGCGGTGTACGTCATGCTTGCTTTTACCTATCTTGATTGCTGAGTTCCTGGCACCCCCTTACCTTTCACACCCAGGTATGTGCCTCACTCTCCTCTCCCTAGGCCAGGTCCTGGTAGGCCTGCCTCCACGGGAGGCAACAGAAAACCACTGCACCCAGGTTGACCGCCATTCCCGCCTGCAGGTAGGGCTGGGCGGGCCTTGGCTGGCTATGACAGGTGTCTGACCATGGGCCCTGCGGCATCCCGTAAGCCCACTCCCCGCCTGTCTTGGGTGAGGGTGAGGGTTAGCTTCAGCAGAACCGGGGGAAAGTTGAGTGGAAGGAGGCCCCGCCCCGCGTGGCCCTGGGTCAGGCTTGACCCCAGTGGCACTGTGCTGTCCTGCTGGCAAACACAGGCTCTGGTGCCTAGTATAGTGCTGCCAAAAGGGCCCCATGACATCTGCAGGGCGGGGCCCAGCAGGAAGCAAGCCTCCTCCCAGCCTGGGACCTGGTGGCATGCCTGAAATGCATCCTTCCCTTCCTCAGTCCCCCCCGCCCGCCACGTTCTGGCCCCTTCCACTTGCAGCATCTCGCTGGGACATTGTCTCCGTGCAGCTGAGCCTGGGCTCCACGTGTGCAGGGGTCTCGCGGTGCGGGGCAGCGGCTGCAGCACCTTCGAGGATGCAGGTGGTTAGACCTCAGGAAACCCAGGACCTAGGGTGTCTCCAGCACAAGGTTGCTGTGAGACCCGGGACCTCAGCTTCCCCCGAAGTTAAGGGGAGTTGACCTTCTGAGGTGCCTGCCAGCCCTAACATTCCATAAACTTGTGACCCCGAGCACTTGGCATGTGCTCAGTAAACGTGTGATGTCATGGAAGACAGAACCCACTGCCGTTTCCACGCAGAAGCAGCTCTGGACACACTGCAGACCTCCCGATCACACCGGGGACAGTCTGTGAGCGTGCTCCCCACAGCATCAGTGTTTCTAACCTGCGTCCTCCCTGCAAACAGCATGGCGGGGCCAGGAGAAGGCATCCCTGCCAGTCCTGCCCCGGGGACTGGCAAACCCCAGCTCAGGGCTCCTGCCCCAAGCACAGAGCCGAGTAGCCACGCCTCAGACAAGCTGAGAGGGTCCCGGTGCCGAGCTTCCCTGCTTAGCTGGAAAAGAATCCCTAGACTTTGCTACCAACTGTTGAGTGGCAGATGTTGGATCCCAGCTGATGAATAGATTTAACACATGGCCATGGGAGGCCATGTGTATGTGTGTGATAGTCACCCACAATCTGGAGAAACTGAGGCCCAGACTATGTCCTGGAGTGTGTGTGTGTGTGTGAGATAGACACCCACAATCTGGAGAAACTGAGGCCCGGAGAAATTCCCATCTACAGGTGAGGGAAGGAAGTCTTGTTTCGCGGAGAAGACCATGTCCCTGGAGGGTAACAGGGCTTGGGTCGGGTCTGGGTCAAGCCTGATTGTGTCACTGACAGCTGGCCAGGTTCTTGGGCAGATGCGCAGCATCCCAGGGCCTCACCTCCCTCTCTGCAACACGGGGGTGAAGACTGTCTCTGCTCCCAGGGCTGTGGGAAGCTGCTCAGCGCCCTGGGAGCTCAGGACTCTCCTCCTCCTCCGCACAGGCTCCTCTGTGGCCCAGTGAGCAGGCAGAATGATGAATGAGGTGAAAGAGTCCCTGCGGAGCGTGGAGCAGAAGTACAAGATCTTCCAGCAGCAGCAATTCACCTTCATCGCGGCCCTGGAGCACTGCAGGGAGAACGCCCACGACAAGATCCGGCCCATCTCCAGCATCGGGCAGGTAGGTGCTCGCGGGCAGGTGGGGCCAGGCCTCGACCCCTTGCTGGAAAAGGTGGGGAAACCAAGGCCCAGAGAGGGCCAGCAGGTGGGTGCAGGGATCAGGTCTCAGATCCTAACTGTGAAACAGGCCAGGCACTCGTTCCCTCACCAACTATGTGAGTAAGAGAGCGGCTGAACGCGGGGGCTGGAGACACCACCAGCCAGGGTTTAAGTCCCAGCTCTGCCACATGCCACCTCTGTGACCTCCGGCCAGTTCCAACTGAAAACTAGAAAGAGCAGCACACCCCTCCCAGGGCTGTTAGGCAGATTTCATGAGATCATCTGCAAACCCACGCCCCCAGCACCTGGCAGCGTCCTTCGTCCCAGGCCCTGGGGCTCAGGACAGGGATGTGTGGTGGACAAATAGATGGACATGGTCCCAGCCACTGGATTCCCCTGGGGCTTAGAAACTGTGACCCGCCAAGCACATTGCTAAGTCACGTTTGCAAATGATTTCATTTAACTGGAGTCTCCTCTTTGGGTGAGCTGCCATCCAAGTTTGCCCTGCTGAATGTGGAGGCCTCAAGACTGAAGCAGCCTTCCAGGAAGCCAGGTGCCTGAGCAGCTCAGCTCTAGATGGGTCCCTCTCCCACTGAAGAGATGTCACCTGCTAGGCAGTGGGGACCAGGCTCAGAACTGCTTAGGAGAAGCGCACGGGGCCACAGAGAACAACCCTGGCCTGGCAACATTTAAAAAAAAAAAAACAACTTTTTTTTGTAAAAATGTCTCCCAGTTTAACTTGAAATTTTAAAAACCTGCAGAATACCCATATAACCTTCACCCAGGTACGCCAGTTTACTATTTAGCCATGTTTATACACACCCTCTTCCCTTTGAACTGTCTGAAAGTAAACCGGCTGCATCCTCGTCAGCCCATCCCTCAAAGGCTCAGCCTTCCACGGGCATGGATAGGTGTTCAGTATCAGGAAGGACCACCTGAGACCCCCGCCCCACCTCTGCGCAGAATCTCCATCGGGGCTTTGTGACCCCAGCGTGCTCCTTCTTGCCTTTAGGGTCAAGAAGGCTTCTGGTGAATAACGGCCCCACCTGTGTGGACTCTCAACCCTCCCCCTGCCCTTCCTGGCCCGGGGTATGGGAAGGTGACCGCCTGCCCCGCAGCCTGCAGGAGCCCAGTGACCGCTCTGTTGTAGTTACGCGACAGTGCGGGCCCCTCCCTACCCCGGATCCTGGGGCAGGTGTGCTTGCAGCATAGGTGGATACTGTGGGTGTCAAAAGCCTCTTCCCCCACACAAAGCTGTTGTCCTTGGGAAGGACCACTTGAGATCACTGGGGGAAGACATCCTCTAGCAACAAGAAGGCAGCTGGGAGCAGCAGGAAAACCTGGGTGTAGACTCAGAATTTTCTGGGAACTGGAGGAGGCAGGTGACACCCCTTTCCAGCAGATCCCTGAGGGCAGGACCACATGGAATGGGGCAGTTAATCCTGCCCAGACTGGAGCCCGCTCCTCCTGTGCCCGCGTGGATCTCAGACCCAGACTGACTGGGTGTCCGGATGTGGAGTGTCCTGAGCTGGAAAGGCCCCCAGGGTCCCCAGAGAAATGAGCTGAAGTTAGATCAGCTGCATCACTGTCCTTAGCCTCTTTTGTGGCTTAAGAAAAACTTCAGTTCAGTTCACTTGCTCAGTCGTGTCCGACTCTTTGCAACCTCATGGACTGCAGCACGCCAGGCCTCCCTGTCCATCGCCAACTCCTGGAGCTTGCTCAAACTCATGTCCATCAAGTTGGTGATGAAAAACTTCCCTCCCACCAAAACACATTCACATGGGAGCTTTAGTTTGTTTTTAGTATTTTTTATATTGACTTTTATTTGGCTCAATTTAGTTACATGGGTCTATAGTTGTAGCACATGGCGCCTTTAGTTGCAGCACATGAACTCTTAGTTGCGGCATGTGGGTCTAGGTCCCTGACCAGGGATGGAACCCAGGCCTTCTGCACTGGGAGCAGAGTCTTAGCCACTGGACCACCAGGGAAGTCCCTGTTTTTAGTAATCAAGTTCTCCATCCTCCTGGAGTTGATTTTGTCTGTGGCGTGAGGCGGAGGCTCCATTTCTTTCCTCATACGGACCAGTTTTCCCAGCTCTACTTAACTGACCTGGCCCTCCTTTCTCTGCCCCTGGAAACGTAGGACAACAAGACTGGAACAGATTCTAGTTTGCTCCGTCAACTGAGTGGCCCAGCCCAGAAATTCTCAAAGTGGGTGGGACCTTGGCATCAAGAGTCAGGGACCAGCCCCCTGCACTTCAAGTGTTGGCTCAGCTGCCTGGGTCTGGGCTCAGAGCTCTGGAGCTAGGGGGACTCAGCCTCACCACTGCGGCAGTACCTGGGCAGGTATTTCACCTCTCTGAGCCTCATGTTCATCTGTAAAATGAGGACTGAAAAAGGGGACCCGGAGGGTGGCATTCAGGGAGGACTGAGCGCGATGGGGCCGTGACACTTCACGACGTTCACAGTCTATAGGCCTGTAGACCCGACGGCCTCGCACATCGGGGGCCTGTCCCCCGTGACCCGGGAGGGCGGGAGGACCAGGGCGGGTGCTCGGGGGCCCTGGGCACTCACACCCCGTGGGCCCCTGCAGGTGCAGAGCTACATGGAGCACCACTGCAGCAACTCCACAGACCGGCGCATCCTGCTCATGTTCCTGGACATCTGCTCGGAGCTCAGCAAGCTCTGCCAGCACTTCGAGGCCCTGCACGCTGGCACCCCCGTCACCAACAACCTCCTTGAGAAATGCAAGACCCTCGTGAGCCAAAGCAATGACCTGAGTAGCCTGCGAGCCAAGTAAGACCCTCCTGGTCCCATGAGGGGTTTCCGCACGTGCGTGTGGGAGGAGGGGTGGGGATGGGCGAGGACCCCTGGAGGAAGTGAGTCCCGGGGCCACTGTCCAGAGGTCCCCAGCTGGGAATCCTAGGCCCCTGGGTTCAGCCGAGTGACTCTGACCCAACAAATCGTTCACTGAAAATGAGGGATTCTGAAGCCCAGACCCAGCAGAACGCAAACCCTCCGGCTCGAGGCAGCACTGGGCCAGAGCAGGTGTCACAGAGCAGTTGTTCCCAGGAGCCCACAAAGAAGTGAGATATCAGGAGCCCTATCCCATGGGCGTTAGCTACTCGGTTCCCTCATTCTGTGCCCTGGGGGATCGATCCACAGCACAGAGTACCAGATTTCAGAGCAAGCCGTTTAGGTGTAAGGGTGAGCAAAGTCAAACGGTACGCGGTGCGCCTGGGGTGATGACAGCAGGCTTCCTCGGCCCCTGCCCAGGTCTCTGACAACCGCAGGCCAGGGGTTCTCCACTCGCACCCTTCACACCGGGACCCCTGGGGGCTCTGGGGCCCTAAACCTGCTGAGCCGCCACCATGCCTGGCATGGAGAGCCTGGCCTGGCAGGCGCATGGCTCCAAAGCCTCCCCAGGGGGTTGTGCAGTGGGGGCAGCCTTAGAAAAAAACCCCTGCCGGCACACCAGTCCCCGGAGCAGGGCTCACCCAGCCCGTCCCGCCACCCTGCAGATACCCCCACGACGTGGTGAACCACCTCAGCTGTGACGAGGCCCGGAACCACTACGGAGGTGTGGTCAGCCTCATCCCCATCATCCTAGACCTGATGAAAGAGTGGGTCGCCCACTCGGAGAAGCTGCCCCGCAAAGCGCTGCACCAAGTGAGTGAGCCCCAGGCAGCCACGCTGGCCACCACGCACACTCCCCAGGCCTCGGGCACCCAGCCCCAGCTACGGAAACAAAATTGTGGGCAACTGACACAGAACATCCCCAAACCTGGGGGGAAAGACCAAGGAAGTTCAAAACCGCCCTGGAGACCAGCCGGTGGGAAACTGTAACTCAGGGTTGGGGGGACCCACCCGACCCCAGCCCTGCCCCACCCCATCGCGTTCCCTTCCGTCCCATCCCGCGGGGCATCCTGTAACTAAGCCTGGTTTCCACCAGTTGATCCATCTGTACTGGTGCTCACCATCCTTGTCGCTTACTGATCCCCAGGGGGCTAACCCATGACGGACTCCAAACTCTTTCCCTCTAGCACTTTAACCTCTCACTTTCCTTTCCCTCCGAGTGTCAGGCCCTGTGCCCAGGAGAAGCACCCCCACTTACACTGCTGCTGGTGGGTTCAGGGGAGGGGGGTGGGCCCCCGAGAGGGCTGGGGGGCTGCCCAGGCCCAGCCACACAGCCGGAAGAGACCGAGTGGCTCCCTTCCAGCCGCGGGACAGAGCTGCTCCAGCCTGAGGCTGCTTGGTGGGGTCAGGTCTCTGGACCAAAGGGGAACAAGCCGCCCAGCCTCTCCTTTCCTTGAGAGAGAGACGGAGAGAAGACAGAAGAACCGAGTGTGGCTCCTGCAGGAGGACGGTCACCTGGTCCCCGCGACTTGCCTGCGGCCCAGGCGCTGGTGCCGAGCCTGCCAGAGGTGCTGTCTCACTGTTGGTTTTTCCCTTCGCAGGGGGCGACTTAGCTTCTGTATTCTTGCTTCTTCGGGGGCGACAGTCAAGAATAAAAACGTGTTCTGGCACCTCTCTGCCTGGCCAGCTTTCCTGGCGCTCACCCCTTAGAGAAAGTGACACTCACCCCAAGATGCCAGAGGATTCTGGGCAGGAGCCCCACGAGCGGAACCGCTGGCAAAGATGCCCGTGTGCAGGGGACACACCTGCCCCACGTAGAGTCTGCTCCCTAGAGGCTCAGGCCAGAGGCCCGCAGCAGGCCAGCCCAGTTAACTCTTTGCAGAGTTAGAGGCCTACTCAGACAAGAACATCTAAATTTTCCAGACAGAACTTAAAACTGCCACCTCAAAGTCTTGTCCCAAAGGAGCTGCTTCCTCCGTTCAAACGGGCAGAGCACACAGATTTCCAGGGCGGTGAGGCAGAGGAGAGCCGTGGAAAACCACACCGCACACAGGGCTCTTCACCTCCGCTCCTTCCCCAGTCAGGCCAGGGTGCAGCTAACAGCCGTCTAAAGGTAGTTTAGACCACCTTCCTCCACAGGCCTCATGGGGAGGGCAGGTCGTGGATGCGGGCTGCCCTTTCTCCTCGGCACACTCGCAAGTTCAGTGTCATTTGGGCTCAACTGTAAGGACTGTATTCAACCCCGTGTGCCAGCCAACCGCTAGGCAGGCAGGCACATACCACAGCCGGTATGCTAGAGATGCCTGCAGTCACTGCTCCCGCACCACCACCACACTCTCTGGGGAGAGGGCACGAATCTGAGACAGACACGGGTAAAATCTGTGGCTCTGCCAGAACAAAAGGTCTTTCTTCCAGGGACTAAAGTCCGATTCCACTGTCAGCACCCTTCCAGCACCTGGGGTAAATAGCCAAGCAGTCCAGACCCAGGGCCAGTTCCCACTCAGCCTGGAAGCCCCTCAGAGGCCGACATGAGCCACTTCAGGTCAACACAGCAGAGTAGTGCAAAACAATAAATTTTTATTTGTTCACAGTTAAACACAAGCAACTGCCTTGACATTTTTGAACATTCTAAGAAGGACAGCAAACCCTTTTGATTCAGATTCCCATTCACTACGATTGTACCATTTTTCTCTTGCAGTTCACGTGTTTGGCATCTGATGTGGATTGTCTGACATGCTTTTAAGATCGAGATGGGAAGGTGGAAACCTTTTGACAAAAAATGACTTTCTTAAATTTAGCTAAAAGCAGTCAGCCCCCCCAAAAAATCTTGTTTTTCACTGATGGGACCCCGTTTAAACTGCAAGGTAGCCACGTGTGGTTGATCCATGATTGAGTTACAAAACTAGATTATGTCTTAGCAAAATCTGTTCCTCCGTAATATATTTATGGTCCATAGAAGTCTTCTGAAAAGTGACCACTGATTCTTCCTAGTGCAAAATGCCTGGCTGCCTCTTCGATAAGCCAAAGTCTGTGCTGCCGAGAACAGCGCCGTACCCTCCTGTACAAACACTGTATGGAGGTGGGGAAACAGGGAGGAGTTGGTCTGGAAAGTGGGCGGGGGGCGTTTCCTCTAAAAGATCTATTCCAAGTTCAACTAGTCTACTTATCCCCAAGGATGGACAGTTTGGTGGCACTGGAATGGGAAGGGAAAGAGAGAGCTCTTCTGCCTTCATGAACTCGTTTCAAGGCCAAAAGCCATCTCGGGTACAGACGCTCAACTGTCCCCAGCAGGCTCCCCTCGTAGCTACAGCCATTCATTCTCCTCTCAGGTCGGCATGTACGGACTGCGGGACTGCGTGGAGAAGACGGAAACGTGGCTCCCCCCCTCCGCCCCCCGGGGAACGAGCCGCGTAGGGGCTGGGCCACAGCAGCAACCCAGGGACCAGGCTAGAGAATGGCTTAATCAAGTGCCACCAAATCCTCTGCCACCGTCTGGGGGAGGGGGCGGGTGGGGGCACGTGTCAGAGAACTCTGGACGTAAACAGACACACACACACCTTCCCATGCTCACTGCTGGTCAGTTTTAAAGCACGCACCTCCAAGAGGGAAATTGCCCAGAGTGAGACGTGCTGATTCGGGTCATTTCACATGAAACACACACTTCTGGGTGGGCATGGGCTGCTCCCAGGGGCCACTGAGTACAGGGCTGGCCTCTGGGAGAGGACCCGCACAAGGCGGGCCACGTCCCACAGCAGCCCCGGACTGAGTTTTCAAAGCCCTCCTTAGACCCATCCACACTTTCTACCACGTCTTATTGCTTTTGGTCAGAAAAACCGCATCTTCATGTAGTATTTCTTTTCACTTGTTCCTCAGTTATTTCTTTCTGGCTTCAAGTGGTATATTCTAGTATTTGGTGAGAATTCACACTGGCTAGTCATAGCACTTTTATCATGTTCTCTACACAGAAACACTTAAGTTTTTTTAAATTAACTGTTGAGTGTGAACCTCTGTGGTCTCCAGAGACCCCCTCTCATCCTCATGATCATTTATCCTCTTCTGCAAAACTACTAAGAGTTTTATCTTTCTCAACCAAAACACTGGAAACCACACACTACATGCTGTTTCAAATAGGGATGGCGCAGCTCTGGACTTCTGTTTCCCACTGTCCTGGTTTTGCCCTGCGGGGGTGCTGACCTCTGTAACTGTCATTGGCTTCTGGGACCTCTTTTAACAGTTTTATCTTTCAAGAATAAGAGTCTGGGCTATCTCCCTCGAAATACAGTACACATATTCTGGCTCACAAAGTAGCTTATCTGTCTGTTTCTCTCCACTCAGAAGAGCCTAGGAAGAACCTTCCGCAGCAGCGTATTCCCAAAAGTTAGGCAGTTTCCCCTCCTGAAAAACTGCTGACAAACCTAGGGAGGTCATGTCTTCCTACCCACCTCATACAGAGAGTCCCTGTGCTCATCTCCAAGGAAACCTCTGTCCCAAGAAATGATCTCCATCTCCTAACTTCGGATTTCAGTTACTTTTCTGGTATTTCTTCCAACTCCACAGTAACACATCTCACAGACTTGCGGCAGAATCTTGCCACAAGGTTATTTTTGTTTTAATTCATGAAAATTCTGTCTGATAGAGACCCATGTGCTTCTTCACCTGTAACAGGTTCAGGAGCTCGTTTTCTCTACAGAGACCATGCTATCACCTTCCTCCCTCTCCCCACTCCCCCACCCTCCCACCCCCGTGATTCTGTAGTGCTCTGTTCTAAAACATTTCATGCTCCCAAGAAGCAGACCCCAGTCTTCTCAGGGTCTATGCTGACCCTGGTTAGCACCAGGTGGACATCAGGTTACAGACACCAGCCAAACAACTCTGAGGCAGGCAGGCCTGCTCCGGGCCACTGCGGTCGAGATTAACCCTGATGCCTGTGAACGCCTCACTGCTTCATCAGTCTCGGGACAGGCTCAGCCTGGCAGCGCCAGTTCCCCGGCCTTTGCCCAGGCAGGCCCTGGGCCTAATTCTCTCTTGGGAGTTCCACTACCACTGGCCCCTTTCCACCCTCACACACACTCACTGCAGCCTAATCGACCAACCCGCTGACTCTCAGCAGGTCTATGATTTTGAAAATCAAACTTGTCGTCTCAGGTCTTTTGGAAGATGAAAGCCTACGTTTTCAGGCTGGGTAACTTCCTCATGACCCCAGGCCTCCGTCCCCAACCTTGGCTGCATACAACCGACGGCCTCCGAGAGCCCAGAGGAAGTCAAGCACAGCTGCTCAGGGTCAGCCGTTCTTGGAAAGCTGAGCACAGACACCCCGGCTGCAGGAGTGGGCCAAGGGCCTCCTGTCTGGGCCCTGGTCCACTGCACCACACAGCCTCCTCCTCCCCTCTATTTTTATAATCTGCCCACTAAAAAAAATTTTTTTTTCTTTTCTTTACACTGGCCTCCTTGATTTTGCCAGTGAGGATAAAGGCTGCAAGCGCCTGGTGTCTTTGTTCTGTGGCGGGGTCCCCTGGGCTTGGGGAGGGGATGAGTTTCTAGAACCAGGTTTAGCAGTTAATTTTGTAACATTTTTTTCTTTCCTGAATTTGTTCACGCCTTTCTTTCCTAAATAAAGCGGGGCTAGGAAACCAGGACACGTGCATTTCTAAGCTCTCCTCTGTAAACAGCTGAGTTAAGACGCGCAGCATCGTTAGTAATCCAGTTGGCATCCGGCGGCAGCTGCGGCCCCGGCTGGGCCAGGCTGGGCTGAGCGCGCTCGGGCACGTCAGTCAGTCAAAACCAAAAACTCCATCCCGTGGAGGTCTGCTGCCTGCACAGCCACGGGGACAAGGAGGCTGGCTCTCCAGCTCCCTTTGGTTAGGATGCTAAGAACACTTTTGCCACGCTTTAAAAAAAGAGATCGTCACCCTCATGTGCCGGAAGCGTCCACACGCACTGAAGTTCCGTACCATTACAGCGTGGTGTCCCTCTTCATGGATGAACCCTTCTACACTTTGAACTGAAAGAAGAGAGAGACGCCGCGGTTGTTGGCTCTTTCCTACCAGCCTCTCCCTGCCCAGGTCTCAGCTGGCAACAATCCTTATTAGGCTTCTAGCGTTTATTTCAGGAGCACTTGCTGGGTTCGGCTTCTCTGCCAGCCCCCGTTATGCTGACTGCTATCACCTGTCCCGAGCATGTGCACCCAGGCCCTGTGGGTCCAGGACGTCAGTCTTTGTCAACCCTCTCCAGGATTCTGCTTTAATGCTCTGCCGTGACCAACTCATGCGGGGGGTGGGGGAGCAGCACCCAGCTCCCTGCAGGGTCAGCCCCTGAAGGTAGGAAGTGGAGTGAAAAGCTGTCACCTGTAGAATCTACTACAGTGAGGCAACGTTCACAGCCTGAGAAATGATGGTCAGAAAACTTGGGAGAAACTCTTTGGACCTTCAGAGGCTTCCTGCGGCAGGAAGCCAGCACCGCTCCATCTGCAGGGGCGCATCCGCACGCCCAGTACTTTCCTGTTTAGGGAGCTGCGTAAGTGACTGCCCTCTCTCTTGCAGAGCCCAGGTCTGACAGCCCCCACCCCAGCCTGTGCACAGAACAGTACCAGCTTTCGAGCAAACGCCACGTAAACAAGAGGTAGTGGGGCAGGGGGACAATGTGCCCCCACGGGGAGCACAGTCTCCACAGGGCCAGCTCCAGACTGTTCGAACAAACCTTTGTTCACACAGAACTTTCTAGGAAGCTTATCAGAACCGCCAAAAGAACTTGAGAGAATGAACCATTGTTTTCTGAGCTCTGTGGCTTTAGATGCTGGACTTTAAAACCAAAAGCAGTGACAACATCTCATGTAAAAGCTCTCACGTCAAGATGCTCAGCTTTGCATGCCATGTCCTCCTGGAAAGGGACAGGACTGGACTTACCTGTGACACCACCAGTGACCTAGGCTCACAGGGAGCCTGCCCAGTGAACTGAGCTTCAGGAAAGGAGTGGGTGGTGTGTCAGACTCCAGGGTTCAATTTGGCCTCATATTGCACAGGTTCAAAGGACGCAACCATTTGGGGGGGTGGATGGGAAAGGAAGGAAATAAAGCTAGTGAGGAACGCACCCTGGCCCTCGGGTTAGTACACACTGCCAGGTAAATGGAAGAGAAGGTTTGGGGTGGCCGAAGGGAAAGTGAAGAGGCACTGCAATGCCAGATCCGAAAACCGTTCTGCATTCAGTCAACTGTCGAAGGACCCCCATCCCATTTCCTCTGCAGGAGCTCACCCCCCAAGCCCTGGAAACAGGAAAGCTCTGAATCAGGCACTCACACCTCCTGTCTAGGCCAGCGACACGCAAGTTAACACTGACGGCCAGCGTCCCTAGCTGTGCTCGAGTTGGGCCTCGTTGTAGTCCATGATGCGGAGCTGGCCCACACTGTCCGGCTTTGGGGCAGGCGGCAGCGGGCCATCGAGGGCTGGGGGGGCCCTGGCTTCCACACCCGAGTCTTTGCCCAGCTCTGTCTTTAGGGTCTCGGAAAGGCTGCCGACAGTCAGGCCGTCCTCGTCGCACTGGCTCTCGCTCTTGTTACGAAACAGCTCTCGCGCCTTCATGCCCAGAAAGCTCTCTGAACTGGGAAGCGAGCCCACGGTCGCGGGGGTGCCGGAAGCGGGCTCGCCCACCGCCATCTCCCACCGACTGCTGAAGGGGCCCGCCCTGGGGTTGGGGGGTTTCTCTGGGGTAGAGAGCTCACTGCTGCTGCCGCCGCCTCTGCTGCCACCGCCGCCCCGGGCGCTGCTGGGCCTGGGGGGCTTGGTCTCACCGTTATGGCCAGGGGCCTCTTCGTTGTGCCCTGTCACCGAATCTGAGCAGCCGTCCTGACAGTAGTCAAGCCTGTAAGAAATCGAGGGGGAGGAAGAGGGTTGGTGGCTGCGGCGTCCAACCACTCCAACCCCACCAGGGAGGCGAGGGGTCACACTGCCATGTGCTCACGCTGACGGGGAGTTCCGTCGGCCGGCTCTGTGTCCTAGGACAGAGGACGCACGCACGAGAGCGCGTGAACATCAGACGGCGATCTTAAATAGAAATGCTCCCTGGGACCATAACTGAGCGACTCGGGGCCCAGGACAAGGAGCAGAGGACAGCCAGGCCCTCAGGGACGCAGCTCAGAGCTCGTAGGCTGGGACCTCCCGACACGGCCATGGCTGCCGACTCGGTTCCTACCTTTCCTCCGCTGCTTCCGCTGCTTCCGGTTTCTGTTCTTCAAGTTTTCTCAGGAGGCCATCCTTCTCCAATTTGCCATATAAATCTAAGATCTCCAGTTCGAACACCTGGGTGATCCTCTTCTGGGACTCATACCTGCTCTCTGCAGCCTGTAGCTGTCCTCTGAAAGACAAGGACCGCCCCTCAGAGTGTAGGAGGTTCTACTCAGTAAATACATCACAGTAAAAACCTCTCCCCGCCAAAGTTACCTTGCCTGGAGTTTGACATCCTCTAAATACTTTTTCTGTTCTAAAAGAAGGTGGTCTTTCTTAGCCAGATGAGATTCCAGTTCCAAAATCCGTTTCTGACAGGTATCAAGTCTCTGATTCTGCTGGAGGACATGGCTCCTGTTTTTTTCTAGCTCTTTCCGATATGCAGCCTTCATCATTTCTACTTCCTTAAAAAAAAAAAAGGAACTGCAGTTAGTACTTTTAGAAAATGAACAAGCCATATCTACTTTGAAAAATCTATGTAACAAGCACTGAGTACATCGGTATACTGCTAGTGGAAACAGAAACTAGTACAACTTTCTGGAAAGTAAGTGGGCAGGAAGTATTAACCAACTAATCCTTTCCTGAAATCTAACCCTACGGAGATTATCTGAAACAGGAATACATATTTTGGCACAAAAATAACCATCACAGGGTATTTAGAAGAAAAAAAGACTAGAAACACTGTGAAGTCTAATGGTAAGGAAACAGTTAAGTAAATTAAAATACATCTTCAACCAATTTTTAAAATGATATATATCAATGAAAGACTATAAAAGCCATGTGTATGGTATGGTCAATTATGTAAATATACACATCTGACAACATGCCAATATTCAGTTACAATCTCAACATGGTGGTGATACTGAGAGTCAATTCCTAGGCAGATTGACTCCTCCGGGGTCCCCGAGGAGAAGAAAGGGGTCTGGGGTTCTTGAGGAGAGAGTGGTCTGGAATTCTCAAGGAGGAGGAAAGGACAAACTTTTTCTTTCTCTACATTCCTTAGTCTTAGTCACATAAAACGTTTTTTTCTTTAAGCCTCAAACTGATGATTACACAACAAACAACTCAGCGGAAGCTCTGCACTAGGGATTAAACAACAATGTATCCTGTTTGAGGACAGTTTCTCCTTCCTGAAAGCCTTCTGACTAATCCTGTTATTTTAGAATGTATATTATGAGAGTACATCTGGTAGGATCTTTCTGTTGTTAAATTCTAATCCTGTTATTCTAAAATGTAAAATGTGGGAGTGGGTCTGGTAAAATGCTTACAAACTTGAGACATTCCTTTGATTTAATTGTAATAACCAAATAAAAAAGTATGTAACTCACTTGCTAAGACTAGCGAGGGGTTTGCTCTGCATCCTGCTTCTGATGTCTATGTCAGAGGCTTTCTTGGTCCCTCTTCACACTTTAATAAAACTCTGCTACACAAAAGTTCCTGAGTGATCAAGCCTGGTCCCTGGTCCCGAAGCTAAATCTTCTTCGGAGATCATGAATCCAACACCATTCACCGTAAGCTGTCACCATGCTGTGGGTTGTTCTTTCCTGCTCCCCGCTCTCTCCTAACACCGGCTAAGATCAAGCTAGCAAAGCAAGGTGAGTGACCAGATTTGCTCGGGCAAGGCAGCACGTGCAGACCAAACACGCACGTGAGGCCTGTCAATCGTGCCAGGAAGACAGCCTGCCTACTGACTGATGGCAGCAGCAAGGGTACAGTGGCACTCAGAAAAAGAGGTGGAGAGGACACTTCTCTAACAAGCATGTGCTGCATTTGTGTGGTGTGTTGTTTTTTTTTAATTGTGGTAAGATAAGCTTAATATGAAATTTACATTGGTTTTTTTTTTTAAAGGAGCAAGGAGATGAGCATCCCAGAAGGCACTTTTGCCTTGAAGATGACCAGCAAGTTTAATGCCTCCTCGGTCAGAAGGGGATGGAGTCAAGCTCAGGACTGGGACTGGATAATGTGGCCATTCCAGTTATGGTCAAATGGCTCCAGACTTCAGCATAGGGTAGTAAACAAACTAGCTCAGCAGTAAAGAACCTGCCTGCCTATGCAGGAGACGCAGGTTTGATCCCTCAATGGGTGGGGAAGATCCCCTGGAGAAGGAAATGGCAACCCACACCAGTATTCTTGCCTGGGAAATTTCATGGACAGAGGAGCCTGGCAGGCTACAGTCATGGGATCACAAAGAGTTGGACACGACTGAGCAACTAAACAACAAGTGAAAAAACTGAACCTGTCATAAAAGACAGCAGTTACTTATGGAACCTCAAAGGAATGAACTTGAAACATCCATGCGTTAGCACTAACCCTCACAGCCATTAAGAGGGGCTACAACCAATACTTAACAGCCATTCCCCACCTGAGGCTAGATACCCACTCCTCCTCCTCAACTTGACTAAACAAAAGGAAGCCCAGCTCCAGGCCAAGAGGTGAGTTCAAGGCAATAGCTGACTAGGGATGCACGCACAACATTCAGTTCAGTTTAGTCGCTCAATCATGTCTGACTCTGTGTGACCCCATGGACTGCAGCACGCCAGGCCTCCCTGTCCATCACCAACTCCCGGAGTTTACCCAAACTCATGTCCATTAAGTCAGTGAAGCCATCCAACCTTCTCATCCTCTGTCATCCCCTTCTCCTCCTGCCTTCAGTCTTTCCCAGCATCAGGGTCTTTTTCAATGAGTCAGTTCTTCGCATCAGGTGACCAAAGTATTGGAACTTCAGCTTCAGCATCAGCCCTTCCAGTGAACATGAAGGACTGATTTCCTTTAGGACTGACCTGTTTAATCTCCTTGCTGTCTAAGGGACTCGCAAGAATCTTCTCCAACACCACAGTTCAAAAGCATCAACTCTTCATCACTCAGCTTTATGGTCCAACTCTCACATCCATACGTGAGTGCTGGAAAAACCATAGCTTTGACTAGACGGACCTTTGTCAGCAAAGTAATGTCTCTGCTTTTTAATATGCCATGTTGGTCGTAGCTTTTCTTCCAGGGAGCAAGTATCTTTTAATTTCATGGCTGCAGTCACCATCTGCAGTGATTTAGAGCAAAAGAAGTAAAGTCTGTCACTGTTTCTCCATCTATTTGCCATGAAGTGATGGGACGGGATGCGATGATTTTAAGTTTTTTGAATGTAAATTTTAAGCCAGCTTTTTTACTCTCCTCTTTCACCTTCATCAAGAGGCTCTTTAATTCCTCTTCACTTTCAGCCATAAGGGTGGAGTCATCTGCATATCTGAGGTTATTGATATTTCTCCCTGCTATCTTGATTCTAGCTTGTGCTTCATCCAGTCCGCTATTTTGCCTGACATACTCTGCACATAAGTTAAATAAGCAGGGTGACAATGTACAGCCTTGACGTACTCCCTTTCTCAATTTGGAACCGGTCTGTTGTTCCATGTCTGGTTCTAACTGTTGCTTCTTGACCTGCATACAGATTTCTCAGGAGGCAGCTAAGGTAGTCTGGTATTCCCATCTAAGAATTTTGCAGTTTGTTGTGATCCACACAGTCAAAGGCTTTAGCACAGTCAATGTAGCAGATGTCTTTTGGAATTCTCTTGCTTTCTCTATGATCCAACAAATGTAGGCAATTTGATCTCTGGTTCTTCTGCCATTTCTAAATCCAGCTTGAACATCTGGAAGTTTTCGGTTCACATACTGTTGAAGCCTGGCTTGGAGAATTCTGAGCATTACTGGACACAGAACATAACCTTGGCCAGTAAGAAGGGTGGGAGGTTGGGTGGGACCGGTTTCCTGGATGAGAGACCTGCAGGCAGTAATGTTCTCCTCTTCCTTGGGACATCATGACATTACCTTTGACAGTATTAACTGGGGCACACACCTTGCAACCAGGAGCACAGGTTGACAGGATAAGGTTGGGTGGTGCAAAAGAGCAGAAAGAACCGGGCTCCTTGATGCCGTCCCTCAACAACTGACCCTACCAACCTGGAACTCACCTGCTTCGGACTTCTTGTCAAGCTAAATGACGACACTCTTTACAGTTAAGCCAGTGAAGTATTTTTTTGTTACAAGTCAGTGTCACCATGCCCGTTTTATGAACTGAGGTCAGGGGGCCTACTCGAAGTCCCAAGTGTTTAAGTGTTCCAACTGGAAGACAGCACCGCAAAGGCCAACCCAGCCACAGTTCCCTCAGGAGATGTTAGTGCATTTAAGTCAGCTTTATCAGATGTCCTCTAGTCCCTCAGGCCTGTTTCCCCTTCTTTCTTCCTCCAAGGCCATTATACTTTCAAAATAAGTGAGAGCTGGTTTCTAGAGACACTTACACATTTAACATTTAAGCGAGTCTGAATCTGAGTTGAGAGAAGCTGAGAAATAAGGAGTAACTCCTACGAAAATTACATCTCTCTGGTTCTGAGACTACTCCCTTTATTTGGCAAAAAAAAAAAAGGTTTACAAAGCACAAGCCCAAGAAACCTCAGAGAATGCCTATGTGTGATGGAGAAGTTACTGACAGAAAGCATCTAAGCATTTACTCCTAAAATTCCATCCCAACTAACTCACTGATGTTACCCTAGGCTATCTACAAAGTGACATAAAACTTCTGCCTCGACACCACTGGTGAGGCCCTAATTAATGGGAGATCATCCCGATGCTGGCCTGGTTGCCAGGACTGGACCACCATCTGCTGAAATTAAATTCAGCATCATGAAGGAGAGAAAACTATGTATAGCAGTGTAAACCCACGTCCCTGAGAGCGCTACACTAAACAGAACTGGCCTCCCCAAGCTATTTAATGGTCTGTCTGTCTCTCTCTGTTTCAAGAGAGCAAGGGTGAGAGAAGGAGCACAGCCTCATCGCCTGCTCTGCCCCAGTCACCGTCAGGTGCTTCTGCCTGTGCCTGACCTAACCTTGAAGCGGCCCGCTGGGGGACACAAGCTCGTGTGGCAGCTGAGCGGAGCCTGTGTCGCCAGCCCAGGGAGGGGCGGAAGCGACCCTCGGGCCGCCAGACACTCTCTAGGGGGACCGTCCACAGCCGCTCTCTAGCCTGTGACACAGACACACTGCCTGGGCCGCAAGGGCACCCCAGGCGGGGCCTGGCTCCCGGACCCACATACCTTGGTGGTGTCCGAATGCTTGTTCTGCAGCTGTTCCAGATACAGCTCGTTGACTTCCCCAAGAACCAACAGTTGCCTGTTCAGGAACTCCATCTGCTGCTGGACCGACTCACTATTTGAGAGCTAACCAAAACAAACAAAGAGGCAAAGGGAGAGAGCTGAGGACACAAAGCCGGCAAAGGGGCAGGAAGCAGGGAAGCAGCTGGCTATTCAGGGCTGGCCCGCTGTATACAGCACAGTGGCCAGTGGGGATGGCCAGGGGCAACAAAGATGGACAGAAATGCACTTCAAAACTGTCCATCTGCAAAGGGGAAGAAGTGCAAATGCTCCATGTCAAAACTGGCCACCTACAGGACACCTGCAGGAGATGGGTACGTATACAACCCCACAGCAGGGATGTTAGGCTCAGGGGAATAAAGTCTCAGAGAAAACCCACCAGTTTTCTTTTTTAACTTATTTTTATTTTTTGGCCATAATGCCCAGCATTCAGGATCTTAGTTCCCTGACTAGGGGTTCAACCTCTGCCCCCTGCAGTGGAAGCGCAGAGTCTTAACCAGTGGACCGGAAGGAAGTCCCCCCACTGGTTCTTGAATAAGCAATTTATAGAGAGTGCAATGACCCCCAAAGAGGAAAAGATCGTGGATCAAAAAGCTGAATGAACTTTTCCCGTTTATGTGAACAAGTATTGAGAAGGAGTTCCTGGGGCTTAGGCTGGGCGGCTCCCTGCTGCAGGGCTGTCCGCACACCGTCTGATATTTAGGGGTACCCTGCCTGCCCGCTCCATGTCAGCAGCATCAACGATGTCAACCACAAATGTCTGCAGACACTGCCCACGCCCTCTGGAGGCGGGGCCGCCCTGACACACACCTGACGCACAGGTGGCTCGCGAGCCCGCCTGGGGGAGGAGCGGCCCTCACCTTCTGGGACACCTGGCTGAGCAGCAGTTCGGTGTGGCACACCTTGCTGTTGGCCTTCTTCAGCTCCACGCGCAGCTCCGCAATCATGTTCCTGCAGTCCTCCAGCTTCGTCTGCCAGAGACACGAGCCAGGGAGTCACACACGGAGCGGTGGCAGGTCCGGCCACGGGGCGCCCGGCCCTCAGCCCACAGTCCAGGGAGAGCTGGGAAAGCCTCAGGCCTTAGCTGCTCTACTATTCCTGGGCCATCACACTTAAACCTAACTTCTTAGTTTTAAAAAAGGCAGTTACAGTTTCTGAGTGATTAACAAAAGGAAAAAAAACAAAAACAAAACCACCTTAAGTCTGCAGTTCCCAAACTGCACGGAAGAGCCCCAGGGCTACACAGCAGGCTCACAGGGGCGCTGCGGGGCTAGTTGTAAATTTTGAGGGAGACACAGCGACATCTGTTGGTAATGATGTGAACTACTAGCTGGAGGCAGCTCAGGGCTTGAGTGTCAGCTCGTGTGTGTGCTTTTAGGTGGTTGCTGATAAACATCACTGTGAGGAAAGCAACGTGAAACAGGAATGGAGGGCATCAGTGTCTCATGACTCCAAGGTCTGAGACTCTCTGCAGCGTAGAGAGTACACTCAGCATTCGGAAGTAGCTGTGGTTATTCAAAAATAAAATTGAAAACTGAAAAAAAAAATGCATGTGTATTATTTTCAATTTTTTTTCCTCTTCAAATTGCTAGGACCCCAAGTCCAAATTGTTTGGATCTCCTTAATAAGCAGAACTTTCAGGTGTTTCTTTCAGCTGTGGAGCACCAGGAAAAAATTACTGAAATGCTAAAAGAACTGTGACCTCAGAAAGCAGGGACCCTCTGCCCTTAAAGAGCACCCGACACAAAATCCAGCTGCTGTGACTTCAGAGATGAGCCGGGGCTTTCATGCCCTCTTCGGCCGTCTCTGTAGTTCGTACCTGTAGCTCCTGGCTCTGGTTGTAGAATTCCTCCCGGTCGTGCTGAAGCTGTCTGATCTGGCTATGCAGCTGGGTGACCACCGTGTCTCGCTGCTCCTGAAGCTGACTGTACCTGGCTTGTTCTTTCTGCAGACTAATCTTCCATATCTGGATGTCTTTCTCTTGCAACTTCAACTGGTCTTTCTAGCAGACACCAAAGATGCCATCATTTTAGCTGCCTTCCAGCCTGGGCAGTGATGCTCAAGTTCAACGCACACTGCAGACGTTTCACCTGAACAGTCACGAGCTAACCTGAGGCTGTAACCGCAGACCAGGAACCTGCCAGCTCACTGCTGTCTAACTTGGCTTTTGGTCAAGGGTTTCCAAATTGCACATTAGCAAGTGGATCAGAAGAGGCTTAAAGAACTTTTCTCAGCCATCAGCCTGCTCCCAATACTTTCAGAAGTCCTAACCGCCAGCACTGGACTTCTCAGGTGGCACCAGTACTAAAGAACCCACCTGCCGAAGCAGGAGACGTAAGAGACGCAGGTTTGATCCCTGAGTTGGGAAGATCCCCTGGAGGAAGGCATGGCAACCCACTCCTATGGACAGAGGAACCTGCTGGGCTACAGTCCCTAGGGTTGCAAGGAGTCAGACACCACTGAAGCAAGTCAGCACACAGCCACCAGTGCTGACGCGAGCAGTGGTGCTGGCCAAGGTCACTAAGGTGACAGACACTGGACTCCCGCCCTGCCCTGCACTGGGCCGGTGCTCTCTGCATCCCCGGTTAAGGAGGAGATGCTGCTATCACTACTCTCATTTTCCCTAACGGGTGGCAGGGGCCTCCAGAGGCTCCATTACTTTCCTAAGGTAACTGGGCGGGGAGGCAAGGTCATGTCCAGCTCTGCCTGGCTTCACCACGCTCCCCAACCCCCACGAGTTTTTGTCATGAGAGCTGCGTCTGGAGAGCTAGTTTTACATCTGGAGAAACAAAATCACCTTTCGCCTCTACTATCATTACCGCCGATTACAGACCAACAAACACCAAAAATCACTTGTCCCCACTGGTACCAAGAGCTGCAAGGGAATGCGGGGATGCAACCCTTCACGGGCTGACCCCCAGACGCCGGTGGGCGGGGCCAGACGGAGAGCCCACCCCCGCCCCGCCCCGCCCCGCGGGGCTCACCATGGCAGCGTTGTGCTCCTCCAGAGCCGCGGCCCGGATCACCTTGCGCAGGAGCCGCCTGTTGCGCAGCGCGTGCTGCTGCCGCTTGAAACGCTCGTAGAGTAACTGGTTGTGCAGTAAAAGCAACTGGTTACGGAGGGTGCGGATCTCATCTGAGGGAGGAGAGCCTGATTTTAAAGCAGAGGGAGGATGGCAGAGATGCCTTTTACATGTTGTTCAATCGAGGCCCCGCCCAGAGATTAACGCAATTCTTGAAGGAAGAAGTCACTCGCTTTGCCAATGACCACCTGGCTCCCAGTCAGTCGCCGGGAGCTGCAGGGGCTGGGGGTGGGCAGTGCTTACTACCTATCTCCCTTTGAAAGGAACACAAAGGGAGGGGCATGAGGCAGGATGCCTGAGAGCCCTGTGTATCTCCCCACCTATCTGGAATATGATTATATGTGTGTCTACTAAAGACTCTTTTCCATGCTTCACGGTATCTTCCTACTACCCCTCCCTTCACCTGGATCTTTTCTAGGGAGAAGCCTGGCGTGAGGGCTGCCTTCCTGCGCTTCTGCTCTCAAGCACTGGGCTCCTTGCTACTTTTCAAAAATAGGAAATGCTGACTTTGCAACATGTGAGCTACTATGTAGCCAAGCAGATAACCCAGCTGGAGCCGATGGGAAGAGACACCTCCTTCAAGGACAGAAAGGGCCACCAGCAGGCAGGATCCCTGCCAGCTAGATTTGGAGCTGAAGTAACAACTTTACCTCCGAAGTGGGTCCAGTCAACAGACTTGCTGGGTAAAGACAACCTAGGAAGAAAGTTGCCAAGTAACAAAGTTACCGATCTCAGCTGGAAAAACTAGGCAGATCAGTTCTCTGTGGTCACAAGCCAGGGGCATGAGACAGTTTCAAACTTGAAGTCCACTGGAGACAGAGGGGGTCAGAGTCCCCAATAAGCATGACCACCGACTCCAGAATGGAAAGAACCCTAACTCAGAGCTCACACTGCAGCCTGTGTATGCTGGGCGGCTCTTCACGGCAATGAGAGATCAAACACACTGGGCGCTGTTTTCAACCCTCCCTGCTGCCATACACAGGCTCTCTGCTGAGAAGCTACAGTCCTCCAGGTTAAGGACACAGCAGATGATTTACCTGAGTCTACTACACTAGCATTCATTCAAGCAAGACTTTAAACAGGACAGTTATCTGTCAAATTCCACTTGGGTTATTCTGCAGAAGAAAAATGAAAGCCCTCACCCCCTAAGAGCCTGTTTAGGAACGACATTACTGTGGATAGTGATTCTCTTATCCTTTCGTAGGTCACCTTTGAAAACCATAGTAAAAGGGCTGAAAACAGCCGTTCAGAGGGGTTCTTAACCCATGTGTGTGAGCAGGAAGTGGGGACAGGCCACCTTGACATCGCACTGAAATGTTGCTTTTATTTTCCATCTAATGGGCTACGGTACCAAAACAGAACAACAAAAAATCTGTAGCAGGAGAAGGTGACTTCGTGACCAATATTTCTGTATTATTTGAATACCATAGGCTCATCCTCAAATGTCGGAGAGCAGACATGAAAGCATTTATGCTTGCTCACAGCGTCTATGCAGAGAAGACTCATTTCTCACTGGCTCGTTCTCTAAGGAATGACCTGAGGTCAACATGCACAGAGGACACGCACATTCGTAGGTATAAAAAGGCAACAAGCTAGAAGGACGCCCGACAAAACGTAGAACCAGCTACCTCTGGTGAGCACACAAAGAGGAACTCCTGCCTCCAACCACCCGCTTCCTGCAGCTCCTAACCGAGTGGCAAGCGCAGAGACCAAGCCCGCGCCCGGGCCTCACCTGCTGAGCTCCTTGCTGTGCACGTCGGCCCCCTGCTGTACCAGCCTGTCCAGCACCTCCACGGGGGAGGCGGAGGGCGGGACGTCCTCTTCTGCGCCTCCCTTTGCCTTCTTCAGCAGCTCCTCCGTCTTCTTGCTGACAAAATGATGGGCAGTCTTTGGCAATGCCACCTCAAAAAGATGATCGTACGGGGGAGGCTGCCCACTGCCAAACCCCACTCCCCTCTGAGGTGGAATTTTACAGGGGCTGGGGGTGAGGATGCTGGCCTCCAGGGAGGCCTGGCGCTCCCTGTTCCCGGCAGGGCTCTCCCCGGTGCCTCCGCAGGGCAGGTCTATGGGTGTGAAGGCTTGCTTTGGTGTGTCAGGCCCCGGCTTGTCCAGGGAGGAGTTTAAAGGCTCAGAGTTCGCACTGGTGCCCTGAGTGCTGGAGGAGGCTGAGAGGGTCTTCCGCGGGCAGCCCGGCAGACTGTCCCGGTAGAAGGGCGAGTCGAAGCCTCCTCGAGGAACCAGGGGCTCGGCATCGGCCGTCGTGATCTCAGACAGCTCTTTAGATATGGCCGCTGCAAGGAGGGAGGAGGAAAGAGACGGCGCATCCGGGTCAGGACGGGCAGTGTGGGGCTGTGTGCTGCCCTGTGCCACCCAGAGGGATGAGGCCAGGGCTCAGAACAAAACTCCCATCTCCCTCCCCCAAAGGAAGAAAAAGCAGGCACTCCTGTGCATGTTGATATTAAGTCCCGGTTTTCAGGCAGAATGAGGGTTTTATCAACGTGCAGCATCTCACACAAGCCCAGAACCCTGCACACATTACCTTCTTCTTTATCCTTCTCAATACTGTCTTCTTCAGAAGCCAGGTCTCCTAAAAACCCTGGAAGGTCACTAAGAGTGACAGATCCCTTGCCTCCATGCAGCTCTTCTAAAGAGAAAACAGGACAAACAGGCTGGAGACCCCCCCGCCGTGAGAACTGCACACACTGTGACAGAACAGGCCCACCCTGACTCTCCTGCTGAAGACAACGGTGAGACGGCTCTCTTCTGGAGCTCTCAGAGCCAAAAGGTTACAAGGATCCAATTCAAAGTACCACAGAAGACAAAACTCTCCATTCTTTCTTAACATTGCAGAGAACAGATAAAGCCATGGTTTGATCAGCTCAAGACACATACTTAGCAGCTTTTACGGGATGCTATTATGAGGTTGGCTTTTAGAATTAATTACGTTTCATTATCTCTGTGTTTCATGGTGCTCTGGAATTTCCCTGTTTCCACACTATAACCCAACCCATCAAGAGTCAAGCAAGGTCCAGAGGCCTTACCTAATCCTCTGTCATTCGGAAGATGGGGCTGTCTGTGTAGACAGGGCCTTGCAGAGTCTGTTCTCTCTTCCTGAAAAGACAGGTACCATTTATATATCACAAGGCAGAAAATTTTGTGCATGGTCTCTAATGCTAGAGAAATATCCTAAACTCCTCAAATTTTAGTATATTATAAAGGAGTTTAAAGTTTAGCCCAGTAGTTCTCAAACTGGTGTCAGGACGCCTTTCTGTTCTTAAAAATGACTAAGAATCTCAAGGATTTTGTTTATGTGGCTAAATCTATTGAAAATTACCATGCTAGAAACTAAAACAGAATTTTAAAAATATTAATTCACTTAACAAACCCAGGAATTCCCTGGCAGTTCATCGTTAGGACTCCGTGCTTTCACTGCTGAGGAGGCGGGTTCAATCCCTGGTCGGGGAACTAAGATCCCACAAGCTGTGCAGCATAGCCAGAAAAATACCCAACCCAATACATTTAAACATAAATGACCTATTTCTATGAAACATAACCATATTTCCCAAAACAAAGGTAAGTTCAGTGAGAAAGGTCAAGTGGTTTCACATTTCTGCAATCTCTTTCATATCTAGCTTAATGGAAGGAGGCTGGGTTCTTATGGCTGCCTCTGCTCTGCTGGGTTACATGTTATTCTGGCTAAAGCATAGGAAGAAAACTCCAGGCCCCCACGGACAAGCAGTTATAAAAAGCAGAAAGATTTTTTAGATAATTGCAGAAAACCATCTTTGATATTACTCTAAAACTTGACAACAGTATTTTGTCTTCAAGGTTAGTCATGGAGCAGAACCTGAAGCCATGGCACTTCACTCTTCACACTATGTTAAGATCCACTGGTGTCCCTTGCCCCCCAAAGGTTATGTGGGTCTTTAACATCACACACAAGGCAGGCAGAACACTGGCTCACCAAGCTGTGCATATCTTCTAAGTGTTGAAACATTTCATTACATGATATCAAAAACTCAAAACTTGGGAATCAAGTTTCCCAAGACTTTTCAATCTCATCATGAAAGACTCAGGGGCACTATCAAGCACTTGGTGGCAGATACCAGTTTTTTAATATTCTAATTGCACCTTTTTATCATGGGCAACAAAGACCGTCAGTTGTTTATCTTCGAGTAACAGACCCAGTTTGTCATCTAAGAAGCTAACTGCCTGCCAAATATTCAAGTCTGAGTAACCATGGTTTGTCGCCAGTTATTCTTTCAAATAAGACTGCAGCTCCATAAGAGAGCAACTAGTTCAACTCTTAACTCCAATAATGTCACAAGTGCTTATGGAAACCACCACATGTTGGTATGCACTCAAACTGCTTTTTGTCTACTTCCTGTTTTATCACAAACAATATTAAACACGTGGGTTCTTTCAACAGAATACTCAATGTTGGCACTTTTTTGGGGGGGGGGGCTTGTTGCTTCTTTTCTTCTGCTAAACTGAAAGAAAACATCAAGGAAGAAGAATGCAATGCCACTAGAAGAGTTCAATTTTGTACCAAGGGGCCAGCCATCTTACCCATCACTGTTTCTATGCCATGAGTATAAATGCCAATGCAGAAAAAAGGGGCAAATAACCACATATGAGTAACTGTGAAAGCAGATTTGCCCTGGCAGAGTCTCTTAGAAGGTCTGGGGACCCGCAGGGTCAGCAGACCACATTCTGTGAGAGCTGCTGATTGGTCTATTTTCAATTGATCTGATTCAAACCCATTACATTTTAGGTCAGACTTCTAACTGGCATAAAAGGTTTCCCAAAGTGAGGCTAGAAGCAAGTCTTCGTGCATTGGCGAGGGGACAGCAGACAAGCCCAGCAAACCTTCTTGGGGGCCGTGGCCTGCGGGAGTGAAAGGTGCACGTAGTCGTCCGAATGGCAGGGTGGGGCTGGAGGAGGAGAGGTTGCAGGGGTTCCCAGAGGAGTTCCTTTCCCACCTGCTCCAAGACAAGAGCAGAACACACACACAAACACACTGTCAGTTTAACGATTAGGAAAACTGCCACTTTCTTTCTTTCCCAGCCTAACTAGTACTGCAAAGAAAGCTGCTACACTTTGCTTTCTGGAGAATCTATATCAGTCTGTCTTTTTTTTTTTTAGGCTCACTTTTAACTTCTGAAAGTTCCAGGCATTTGTATTAAGCATCAAAACTAGCTTTCCTACTGCAAGAGGCTCTCAAACTCTTAGATCTTAGAGGAGACTGTTCCTTATCATAACAGGCAGGCCCAAACCAATCAGCCAAACCTAACCTAAGCCATACATACCAGCTGTACCAAAGACTTTGCTGTAAGGGTGTGACAGATCAGGTGGGACGTTTCCAGGAGAAGTTGGAGGGGTGGTCATCCCACAAGCCGCAGATGGGCTCCAAAGAGTAGCCTGGGAAGTTAACAGGCAGGTCAGCAAGGAGCAACAGCCACCGCCGCCTCCCGAGGCACAAGCCCGTGACCAACCATTATTTTAAACTTAGCCTTTCGACTGGGAAACTGATCTTACTAAAGCTTTATCAAGAGACATGTTGCATTTCCTAGGTCTAGACGCCAAAAGAAACCCAAGTGGCAACAGTTAACTTTCTCTGCAAACATGAGGCATCCTTGAAACTAAGTCCTGAAACAAGCAGTGAGAGTTTCCCAAGCGCAGGCTAAGCCCCGACCCCGAAGGCCAGCTTCACCAGCGAGCAGAGAGGAAAGCAGGCACACTAGACGGCAGCGTACTTGAGGCGGCTCAGCTAACAGCCGTGTCGACAGGGAGCTCAGAGCCGGAGGTAGCTGCCCGGGCGCGTTTGACGTCGGCCGAGAAGTAGAGTAGGGAGTGGAAGTAGCATTCCCTACAAGGGAAGGGAAAGAACACACGGGGTCAGTGGGGGGCTCCAGTCATTCTGACAAAGAACTATGGTCCTCGAGACCGTTTGACAGCATTCAGTTCCCTGCATTTAAAAAGGCTGAGGGGACTCCTAATGCCCATGGGTATAAAGTAGCATTTAAAAGGCTCTTAAGACCCTTTTGGAGAAGGAAATGGCAACCCACTCCAGTATTCTTGCCTGGAAAATCCCATGGACAGAGGAGCTTGACAGGCTATAGTCCATGGGGTCGCAAAGAGTCAGACATGACTGAGTGACTAACACTTTGTAATACTCTTTAGCAATAAAGTTCACTAAGGTTTGATGTCTCATTAAGCTTCAGAATAGCTTGAAAAACACAACTTGTATGACAATTTCAGCCGATGCTACCTGTGGATAAGCCTAGTCTTTTTTTGACTCCAATTGTCCAGATTCATTCAAAACCATGTCAGTGTGACAGCCCAGAGGGCCTCACTGAAGGCATCTGAAAAAGAAGACGCTTCCTTTATAAGCAGGAGCCTACAAGTCATACCCTTCCAACCATTTTCTTTGCTAAGTGTTGAGGACACATCTCAAGTCTGCTGACATACTATCAAGGTGCAGATCAAGGTCATAAGATTGTGAATTAAACTTAGGGGAGAAGTTAATCAGGAGAAAACGGAGACAAATCCAAATTTTAAGTATTTGGAAAAACAGTTCCTAGGAGCTCAACTAAGCCTTATTGTAGGAAAAGAAACTAAAGTTAACAATAAACAATGCTTTCCAGAGACAAAGTTGTAAAGAGATAAGTACCAAAGTCACTTTTTACCATAGCTATTCTGTGTGTCAACATAAGAGCTGGCGGAGACATCGGCTGAACGATGAGGAAAACGGGCTGAGATTTGGTGAGACACAGAATAGCCATCTTCATATGAGGCTTCTGTAGGGTCCAGAGAGATTTTGGCACATTCTATGACAACATCATGTGTTTCTAATCTCTTCCACCTGTAGAAGACAATCAAGTCAAGAAATGCAAGTTATAATCCATTTAATCAAACCATCAAATACTTCAGAGTGCAGAATCAATGCCAGTCACTGAACTATGACCAGCAAAGAACAAGGCAGAACCACCCCAGCCCCAGTACGAATTAGCACTACAATAAAAGGAATTAGCTATTCATTTTACAAACCTATAGTGGTGGTGATTTAGTTGCTAAGTTATGTCCAGGTCTTGTGACCCCTTGTACTATAACCCACCAAGCTCCTCTGTCCATGCAACTTCTCAGGCAAGAATACTGGAGTGGGCTGCCATTTCCTTCTCTAGAGAATCTTCCCAACCCAGAGATTGAACCCCGGTCTCATGCATTGCAGGAGATCTCCAGTACTGCAGGTGGAGTGAGCCACCAGGGAAGCCTTACAAACCTATGCCCTATTTAAAACGGTTGTATCAAATCACCAGAAACTAAACTGAAACCAAAGTTTCAGCAACAGAAGACCAGGCATAGCCTCAAAACAGAACACAGACTATGCACAGCAGTTAGCAGGGGACTCTCCTTTGGAACAAAAATCATCACAGAAGAGGGGGACATGGAAACTGCCAGGCAGCTGAGGCTGACTTAAGGTCTCCCATCAAAGCCTCAGGATTCTAATCCATCCCCAGACCAGAAATACAGATCAGCAAGTCTCAAACCCAGAGAAAGCCCATGAGGATATATAAAGAACTGTCTCAAAGTCCTGCTGTCTGATCCAGAGTTCCATGTCTAAGGAATCAGCCTGTGGAAACAGACACATATCAAGATGGACAACAACAGTCTGCACAGCTTGTCACAGAAGAAGAAAAGAAACAACCTAAGGTCCAACCATAGAGTCTACAGAAAATTACCCCACCATGAAAAAGCATGCTTCCGGCAGATCTATGATTGCCAGAAGTGGGAGAGGACACTGACCACCGAGAGTATGAAGGAACTTTCGGGGCTTTAGCTTCCAGTTAAACTGTAACCCTACCTCCATACTTCTAGACATGAACTATTAACGTCCTTATGGTAGGTGAGCATTTAGGTCACTTCCACAGATCCCTTTCCCTCCTCCCCAGTGCTCTCAAAATAACAGATCGCTGTTTTGTTGTTTCTAAATTGATTTTGAACAATTCATTATAATGACTAGATCAGTACCACTCACAGCTGAGCCAAAGAGTATTCTGTATTATTTCCCTTTCTGTTCAATTCAGTTTCTCCTAGAGTTTAAATTTTTCTGTTTCTTTGCCTCAGTCTTCCATGTATCTAATACTAATCCTTCCTAAACTTGCTCTAACAGCTGGGGGAAAACACCTAATATAATTTTTACATAACAAAATACAAACTGTCTACTGAGACTGTTCACCTTCTAAAGAGCTGCCTGCCAGAGCCCTCCCTCTCCTACTGGTTGTTCTCAGCACCACTACAGAAGTTATACCAAGACTTCCCTTGCCGAAGACCCTAAGTCAGGTCCCCCATTGCCTGGACTCTGTCTTCCTTGATTTTACTCTCATTTTGGTGAAGGACACGCTTCAATGGTTCACTAAAGAAGGGTACATAGGAGGTGAATTTGAGTCCCTGCATATCTGAAACTGTCTCATACTTGATAGGCAATCGGGCTGGGAATAAAATTCTAAGTTGAAAACCTTTTTCTTCTCCATTTTGAAGGTGTTTCAGAAGCTAACCTCATTTTGATTTCTGATCCTTACTGTTTTTTTCCCTAAAATTTCACAATATTGAGGCTGGTAACATTCTTTTCCACTAACTATGCTGGGAACTACATAAACCTCCTCAACCTGGAAACTCACGTCTTTCAATTCTATTGTTATATTTTCTTGTATCATTTGTACTTGTATTGGAAATTTTCTTCTATTATTTCTTTCACAATTTCTTCCCCCACCAAAGTTTCCTCCTCCACTTTTTATTGGATGTTAGACTTTCTGGACTGATTAAATTTCTTTCATCTAACTCATCTCTATCCTTTGATTCTGCTCTCCAAGATATCCTCAAATATACCCCCCAATTCTCTTATCAAAATGTTTATTTTAGCTATAGTTTTAAATTTTCAACACTGCTTTCTCTAGTCTCTTGTGTAGCATCCCAAACTTTATATATGCACTAACGTCTCATCTCTATTGTAGATGTTCTCTTTTGCTCTCTGCATCATCATTGTTTCTTTCAGCTCCTCTATCTCCTCTTTACACTGGTCTCTTGTCTCTGGCGCTAGAACCTTTCTTCAAAGGCCAGATGACCTGCCTATCCAAGGTGAGTGAGGCTCTGTAAGTTGAACCAGGAGACTTCCTAATTAACACAACAGACTGGATGTGTGCATCCAACTGCACAATGCCCCCAAACCCCACCAACATTTGTTTCCTTTTAACTATAAACCTACAAGAAAGACAAGAATGAGAAAACAGAGAACAGCACATGTGTTTGAAACCAGAAAGCCAAAAGTGACTGAGTGAGTGAATCCCAGAAAGCAGAATCCTAAGCTGCCAATGTTTCAAAGCTAAAAGTCAACCTGACTTATACTGGAGAATCCTTGAAAAGCAAAAGAACTTGTATACGTCAAGTATTTCTGGAACTGGAGATGAATGACAGGTCAATGAGGACAGCTAAAATCAGGAAGATGGGGTAAATGCTGCCTGAGCCCTGAGATCCCACTTGGCTCTCCGAATCTGTACTCATTTCTGAAGAGGCTCAACAGAGTCTAGGGACTGAGGCACTCCAAAGAGAGGAGGGCCTCTTTGAGGGCGTGAGGGCTATTCAAACAAGAGGAGTTAAGTGAGCATGTACATTCTGAAGGCCAAGACCACTCCTCTCTCCCACCAAGCAGTCTCTACTCTCCAGAAGTAGCCCAACTCTTGTAGACCAGAGATCAGAAGACCCTTTTCTGAAAAAGTCTGACCAACTCAAAAGGAAACCAATATTGATATCAGTATCTCCTACAGATGCTCAGAACCTATAGGAAACCACAGAGTCAACAAGCCCCATCCTTGTGAACAGAGTCTTTTAGTCTCCTCATCCAAATACAAGTAGATCACCAAATACAAGCAGGTCCAAATACAAGCAGATCCAAATACAAGCAGAAAAGCCTCAAAATTTTAAAAAGCACAGCAGAGCAGTTTAGAGAAAACAGACTATACAGGAAAAAGAAAACCTTAAAAAAAAAACTCCCATTAATCTCATCAAAAACGTGAGACTGCATCCATGTATGGCAAAAACCACTACAATATTGTAAAGTAATTAGCCTCCAACTAATATAAATAAATGAAAAAGAAAGAAAAAAAAAAGCTACAATTTTAAAAAGTGGGAGCACCCAGAGAACTAAAAAGAGCTCTTCAGTACTGAAAACATGGCAGAAATGAATACAGAAGGATTAGGAGCTAAAGACAATAAAATCTTTAGGAAGTAGGACAAGAGAGCAGAGAGAAAAAACAGGAGAGCAAAGAAAAGCAGAGAACCACTCCAGGAAGTCTCAATCAGAACATTAAGAAAGATGGAGATAGCCGAGGAAAAGAAATCAAGCACAATATATTTGCAGAAAATTTCCTAGCATTTAAAGATAAAAGCTTCCAGACTGAAAAATGAGAACAGATTCACGGCAAGGTACATCACTAGGAAGTTTGAGAGTATTCTGAGAGCAGAGAGAAGACAGTAAACACAGATGATCAGAAATGAGAATGTCTCTGTATTTCAACAGCAGCATTGGCAGCAAAGGAGCAATGGAATGATGCCTTCAAACTGAATGACTCCCAACCCAGACATGTGTACCCACGCAGAAAACAGCGTCCTCTCTCTAAAATCCCACGAAAACAGGAGTGAACCCAAAAAGAAGGCATGAGATAGAGGAAATGGGAGAACGTGCACAGGTGAGAGGCACAGAGAAGCCATGAGAGAGTCACATGGCGGCCACGCATGAGGCACAGAAGATGACTGCTGAGATCAGAACGCATGCAGAGAGACAGGCGTGTGCAGGCCTCGCTAAGGTTTCTGCTGCCACCGAACCATCTTTCCAACAGAGGGACAGAGCGTCTAGGTGACCCTGGCCTAGATAACTTGCTGGTACTTAGCTTGTCGTGAATGAACACACTAATGAATACACTAATGAAGTTCCTACTCTCCCTGGATTAGCTAAGGACGCCCATCTCACCCCACAGAAGGACTCTGCTCTGAGCTACACCCGGAAGCTGCCGCAGCGCACACGCGGCAGTCTCCGCCCCCCGCCACATTCCGGCCCACACTCAGGGCCTGGCCCTCGCCGCTGCCCAGACCAGACGCCCTAACGAGGGCAAGCCGTGCGTTCTCCTCCCTTGGCTCCTCCTCTCACCTCCTGGGAACCTTCATCTCATGGTGACAAGACTGCCTTTCCCAAGGCCAGACTTTGCCTCCTTTCAACATGGAACAACACATGTGGTCAAACCATAAAAGAGAGGAATTCCCTGGTGGTACAGTGGTTAAGAATTCGCCTGCCAATGCAGGGGACACGGGTTCAATCTCTGATCTGGGAAGATTCCACACGTCATGGAGCAACTAAGCCTACGAGCCACAACTACTGAGCCCTTATGCTAGAGCCCATGCTCTGCAACAAGAGAAGCCCCCACAATGAGAAGCCCACGCACCACAACAGAGAGCAGCCCCGCTCGCTGCAACTAGAGAACGCCCGTGCACAGCAACAAAGACCCACTGCAACCAAAAAATAATTTTTTTTTTTAACGTAAGAGAATAATTAAAATGAAAGCAAGAACAGCAGTTGTCTCAGGTGAGACAGGGAACAGGGACAAAGATGACTGCAACTAGAGAGGGTACTGTCGCATTTTTTTTAAAGTGGTGTCTACACAAGCATCCACAGATTACTATTGACTTTTCTTACACATTTTCTAAGCTCCCCTACATGTATCTCACAGTAAGTTGCTCACATAAAAGGTCTGTGTAGCAGAGGGAGGGCTTGTGGAGATCTGAGATTTGCTGTGGTGATCAGGCAGTGAGTCATCTCTCTCAGGGGGAGATCCTCAAACATCAATATCCGAGGACCACTCTTCCTCCAAAAGGCATCAACTCCCTGCCTGGGGAGCAGCCAGAGAGCAGCAGCGGAAAAGCTGAGCCTCCCACAGCTTGGGGTATAGGGTTTCACCTCATTCCCTTCTTTCCCGTCATGACTCAGCTCCACCTTCCACCATGCTTGACATTCTCAACCAAGGAGGCTGGCAGGTTCCACTTCTCCAGAGGTTAAAACTGGGCACTTCCACCAGGCCCCATGGAGGACGGCAGTCACCTGGCTAAGCAGGATGTAGAAAGCGACCGGGGGAATCCGACCACTCAACATCCATGCTCCGCACAGTATGCCTGCTTCCAACCACACCCATCACCGCTCGCCTTGCACGACCACAGACCACTGAGCCCCCAGCCCTCTGGGGTTCTCCAGGACAGGCACCTGCAATGCAACCTCTTCCTCTGTCAGTGAGCGGTATGTCTTAGACTCATGCACGCAAAATGCTTCACTGTGCAAGTCCTTTAAAACGAAATAAACAGGAAAACCTGTCTTCTCCAATAACACCTCAAAAGGGACATCTCTGAGATCACATGTTCAATTTCTCAAATGAGTCTATGAAATTCTGTCACTAGTTCAGTTTCTATACCTTCGAGGGTCCAGTTCATGGTCCTTGGATCCAGTCACTAATTCCGGGTGAATTCGCACATGCTCCATCATTGGCTAAAAGAGTTTGGGTTGACAAGTTATAAAAGGCTTAAATTCTGTTGTATTTCTACACAATAAAATGTTATTTGGCAATACAAAGGAATGAAGTACTGACACAGGTCACAACATGGATGAATCTTAAAACATTACATTAAGTGAAAGAAGCCATTAACAAAAAAACCACATATTATATGACTCCATAAGCATGAAATATTTAGGACAGGCAAGTCCTATAAAGCAAAAAATAGATTTGTAGTTACCAGGGCTGAGGGCAGTGGGCAAGACAGGGAGAAGGCTGAATTTCTTTTCAAAATTTCCCTAACATTTAATACAAAACATACAAATGCAGTCGATCTCCACAGTACACTAAGTGGCAAATAAATGGGTGTTCATTTACCTTGACCACTTCTTCAAAAGTCTCCAGGTTTTCCTTCATACTGTAGTGAGAACGCAGAAAGGAGACAAAGTTGCAAGGGTACATCCCATACAGGCGATGGAAGAGAGCGTAAACGCTGGCGTGGAGGTGAACGAGATAGACTTCTGTCACGTGGCCTAAAAAAGAAATCCATTGAGGGGGCTCCCAGGTGGACATGGGACATGTGTGTGCAAACAGACAGGAGCACAGGCTGCCCATGGGACGCCAATGGGACTTTCTGCACATGTGTGCTCCCGCCTCACCCCAAAGACAGTAAGTAAAGAGCAGTTTTCCAAAACCCAAATCTGAACACACCGGACACCAGTCTGAAATCCATGGGTGGCTCCTGTGGACTCTGAATAAACTCCCATCTACTTGGAGTGACCCACAGAGGCTTGCACTGATCTAACCCTTGCCCTCCTCTCTAGGAACCCCTGAACAAGGACCCCAGGACTGTGATACCGAAGCACCTTTACAGGAATATCCCTGGCAAGCTGTCCACATGTTGTCTCCACAGCCCGGTTCAGTACACACCTCATGAACAGCACCAGCTCACTCACCTCTGCGCCCTGAGTGTTCTCACTGGGCTTGCTGCATAACAGGCATTCATATATTTGTGGAATGAATGTGTGAGAACCTTTTAAAATCAGTTCGTAGTCTTAGCTATGCAGATTTGTAACTACAGCGTGAAAAGCTACTATCTGAAATTAGCTTAAAGAGCTAACAGTGGGAGAAATGGAAAATTTAATTCATCTAGACTTACCCAGACCCTATGGAAAATCCCAACGGTATGCATAAAGCTCCTCTAATACAAAGGACAGGCCACTCCTTCCTCCCCAAGAAGAGCCTACTAGACAAGCCGACATCATCCAGGCCTCGGGCTTGTTACTTAATGCGGTAGGAGAAGCCACAGTGTTCCACTTCCCAGGGCTTACACATTTCATTCTTTTGATGTGAACATCTCATGCTGGGAGGACCAAAAGATCCCAAAGTTCACATGTTTACAGCTTCTGAATCATTCTGATAGAGCTGTACTGCCTGTTGATGTAGAAACAAAATCCCCCTGTACTAAAAACTAGAACACTCATCAGGACCAGCCGTGTTCTCTCTCCTCCTTCCACACTTAGGACGGACGAGTTCTCTGAACCAGAAGCTTGTGCTCTGTCACTACAGACCAAGAGGAGGACAAACATGTCCCACAAGCATAGTCCCATACTGCTGCAACACAGATTTAAGCTATTTTTCAGTTTACGGAAAATCACGAAGTTGTACCCACCACTCAGTTTCTCTGACAATTAATCCTCTTAAGCCAACAAAATAAGAAAAGAATCTCAACAGTCATGCTTTTTTTTTTTTTTAATTTCTTGGCATGTGAGATCTAAGTTTCATGACCAAGGATTGAACCCACACCCCTGGCACTGGAAGCTCGGAGTCTTAGCCACTGAAGCATCAGGGAAGTCTCTGTCTTGCTTATCATCTGTGCCCCTGGTGAAAAATACCTGAGGTATTCCCTCCCTGGCTGGTGACAACCAACCATTTCAAGCTACAGGATTCTACACGTCCTTTTCTTCCAGCACATGACCTGTTCATCATTCACACAAGCACTCACCTGGTGCAGCATGACAGGTATAGGAAGGGATCTTTACCTGGTTTCTTCAGGCACCACGACGAAAGACGGCCAAAAATATCAAAGAAATCGTGCAGGTGCTGCTTCCCCGACTGTGGAATCATTGGGAGCATGGTTATCAGCACCAGGACCCCTGTAGTGAGGACGACGATGTCGGTGTCCGTCTGCCGGGAGGGGGGGCCGGGCGGGGAGAGACAACTGTCAGACGTGCAGCAGGAGATCCGCACTCGGAGGCTCTCAAGCGAGAACACCGGCACGGGCATATCCTCCCCTCAGGGTGCTGGGGGCACAGCACTGAAGCACACTCAGCCGCCAGCCGCTGAGGACCGGCTCGACCAGGCCGTGTCTGGGGGGCCGCACTCAGGCACCACACGCATCCCGGGCAGGGCGTCAACGTGGCTGAGGAAACCCCAAGCCCAGACACTGCCGACACGCTATAAACAGCCCTTGGCAGGAAGCACAAACTGCTTTTGAACAGAACAAAGAAATGTTGCTATTCTTGTTCATTCAACCAAATTATGAAGTACTTACTCTTTAAAAGTCAGTTAAAAAGACCCATATATATCGACAAGTCATTCTCTATTTCTAAAGGATCATAATAGAAGTATAACTTAACAAGAAATTAGTACAGCACTAACAAATCTTCTTAATGGCTCACCTTCACAGCAGTATTTAGAGACCAGCAAATAAAAAAGATAACAGTGACCTCTGACCACGTCTACAGTTTAAACATCAAGTCATATAAATTTAGACTAACTGAACTTAATAACCAACGAATAATACATCACCTCAGATTAGCTATAGCGGCTCACCTGACCCATAACTGAATTATCAATGTCTGCCAAGTAACTGGAATTCAGATTGAAGCAACAAGATATTAAACAAAAGACTTCCATGCAGGTTAGAACATTCATTATTCCTCAAAAAAAGGACCTTTGAGTCTGGAAATAAACTTTGGTAGTTTTTTTTTTTAAATAAATATGAATTTATTTATTTGGTAGTGCCAGGTCTCAATTGCAGCATGTGCAGTCTTTAGCTGCAGCATGCAGGGTTTTTAGCTGTGGCATGAGAACGCTTAGCTGTGGCATGTGGGATCTAGTCCCCCAACCAGGGTCTGGACCTGGGCCCCCCACATTGGGAGCATGGAGTCCCAGCCACTGGACCACCAGGAAAGAACCTGGAAATAAAGTTTTAAATAGATTTAGTTTTTACATCAAGCACCAAGCCATCTGTTATGGCAGATATCTAATAGGAAAAACATAAAATACTGATAGGAGAATCAAGAATCTGTAATGAGTTCTGACTTAAAAAAAAAAAAAAAGCACTAACAAACATCCTAACTGAAAGCTTGGGTTAACAGTTTGTAAGTAATTTTCAAAGCTTATTCTTTTGGAAAAGGTTAAGTATTCTTTAATCTGAACTAAACAGTGTGCCTCAAAATCACATTATATTCTCATCAATCCATTCATTTAAAAAAACTAAGCTGCTGAAGTGGCTCCTGCTTTTCCTTAACATTAAACGCACATCTTCATGACACCCTGCCACCATGACTCCCTGAGACCCACCTCTGGGGAGGATAAACAGCTGCCCTTTGCTGGCACAGACAAAAATCAACTTGCACGGTGCTGTGTCAGATGCCTCCAAAGGCGTGGCCATCCTGGAACAAACACTACTGGACATCCTCATGTCTCTGGGAGGCACGTGCAGCTCACATTACCCATGTTTCCCTATTTTATAGGTAGGAAACAAGTCCAGGAACTAAAACAGATTAAACAAATGCCCTAAGTATTTCAATAAGCCACAGTCAAAACTAAAACCATAGTGTTCTACTTAGGTTTTGACTCTGCAGAAAAGTGCACTAAGCTGAGCGCGAAAAAGCAGAACGCAATCTGGTAGGGCTTCTACCAAAAAACCTCAGTTACAGCTGCAACCAAACCTGCTCCTAAATAGTTAAAAGTCTTAGCCATCTTGCTTTTAGCCAAAAGAGAACGCAGAAATAGGGATTCCCTCAAGACAAACCAGTACATTTCTAACTGAGGAAAGGCTAGACAATGATGAAATCAGAGAGGGCTGGGATAGCATATTGTTGAACCAATCTGACTGAAAAGTGACTGTATTTGCCTGGACCACATGTAACTGCACTAGACACAGTGATGCACTGAGAGTTAACTAAGTGCCAAGTTTGTACTGTGTTTTACAAGAAGAACCAAATGCCTAGAAGTTTTTAAACTCTCAAAGTTAAAATCTAGCTGGCTTGTTTTAAGGTACTTAGAATTTCAGAAATTATATGATGAAGCTATTTCTCGCAAATCCTTACAAACATCATACCTTGAGACATTTTAGTAGAGAAGGCAAAAGAGGTGCTTGAGAGAGCTTATGCTTCCACGACGGCTGCAGCCTCACGACGTGGCCCAGTAGCAAGAGGGCAGATAACCGAGAGGCGGCCTTGCCCACGTATTCATTCATTTTGTCCAAGAGGTGCTGAATATGCACAAGAACAAGAGAATTGATCTCAGTAAAGCTGGGGAAAGTCAAGGGACCCCAGGGAAACACTCATGTGAGTACATGAAGTACACACGAGGAGAGGCAACAGTGACCAACTCCAGTCTCTCGAGTCGTCACTTGGATGTAAAAAAGGGTCATGCAGGTAAAGAGATCAAACTCAAGGTTTTTTTAAAGCCACGCAAACAAACACACTGTTGTGTTGCAGGAGTCCTAAGAGAGGGCAGACAGTCTGCAACTCCTGAAAAAAAAGTCCCCACAATACAGGTCTGTAAGTGGGAAGGAGACTCCTCTGTAGGCCCTCTTTCTGAAATACAAATAGGCCACTTCTTAGAATAACCACTGTTCTAATAAGTGGAGGCTGTTGAAGCTTCAGGGGATCCTGCTGGAAGCAGTTACTTATTGCTACCAGGGCCCTGCCTTCATTGTTTGGCCCCAGATCTAACTCAGGTAGCAGGAGAAGTTAAAATTCAGCCCAGAGTGGAAACAAAACAAAACAAACAAAAAAACCCCCCATCGAAGATGTACTGTAAAAGGCAGACAGTGGCAAGGCCTTCAAATCCCAGTTAAGTAAATCACCAGTACACACAAACTCAAGACAAATCAAAATGTGCAACTGCAATGCTTTGTTAGCTATTTACCATCAACAAAAATAAAAGCAAAAACAAAACATAAAGGAGCCTTCCAAGTACCTGGTGCTTGGAAAGAGCACTAGGCAATTAGCCCGATGAGGTACCACACTTACAGCTTTCGCCATATGGATTAAAAGTCTAAAAACGCTACTCAGAGCACGTGTTTAAAGATGGGTACCTTATGGATCATCGTCACTGTACAATTATAGCTTAGGATCACAGGATTTCTTCTGAGAGCAAGATCTTTGAAGGCCTCTGAAATATGTTGTATTTTGAAACCTTTTCAGGAAACAAAAGTCCTGACGACTATTTGTATGTGTAGTTACAATCTGGGAGCAGCAGCATCAGTGGCACAAGGAAGTGGAAGGAGTGAGCTCCAAACAGGCCGGGCATTGGGGCTACACAGATGCGGTCACGGCCCCCGGAGAAAGGGGGCCACTCAGCACCCAGCAGGTACCTTATCATGGGGCTCTTGCAAGGTAGTCAGGATGTGCAATACAGGCTGAGAGTTGGTTTCCAGGTAATAATCCACCAAGGTGTTCACAAGCATCGGACCACGGTCTAAAGAAACAAAAGGATTGTTTATAATAGTTATTTCCTCTAACATTCTAAATTTACCTCAAATATTAATAGTTGCCAGTAACAAAATCCAGAGAATGTTTCTTCGTACACTACCCACAGTTACATGAAGTGTTGTATTTCTGCTTTCTAAAATGAATTTAGGTTTAACAACAGGATAATGTCAAGTTTATATGCCTAAGTAGCCATAGTTCAGTTCAGTTGCTCAGTCATGTCTGACTCTTTGCAACCCCATGGACTGCAGCACGCCAGGCTTCCCTATCCCTCACCAACTCCGGGAGCTTACTCAGACTCATGTCCATTGAGTTGGTGATGCCATCCAACCATCTCATCCTCTGTCGTCCCCTTCTCCTCCAGCCTTTAATCTTTCTCAGCATCAGGGTCTTTTCCAATTCTTCACATCAACTGGATGAAGTATTGAGCTTCAGCTTCAGCATCAGTCCTTCTAATGAATATTCAGGGACTGATTTTCTTTAGGACTGACTGGTTTAATCACCTTGAAGTCCAAGGGACTCTCAAGAGTCTCCTCCAGCACCACAGTTCAAAAGCATCAATTCTTTGGTGCTCAGCTTTATGGTCCAACTCTCACATCCATACATGACTACTGGAAAAATCATAGCTTTGACTAGAAACACATCTTTGCGTAAAGTAATGTCTCTGCTTTTCAATATGCTGTGTAGGTTTGTCATAGCTTTACTTCCAAGGAGCAAGCATCTTTTAATTTCATGGTTGCAGTCACCATCTGCAGTGATTTTGGAGCCCAAGAAAATAAAATCTGTCATTGTTTCCAATGTTTCCCCACTTATTTGCCATGGAGTGATGGGAATCAGTGAACTATGAACTGGAATGGGCGAATTTAATTCAAATGACCATTATATCTACTACAGTGGGCAAGAATCCCTTAGAAGAAATGGAGTAACCATCACAGTCAACAAAAGAGTACAAAATGCAGTACTTGGATGCAGTTTCAAAAATGACAGAATGATCTCTGTTCGTTTCCAAGGCAAACCACTCAACATCACAGAAATCCAAGTCTACGTCCCAACCACTAATGCCAAAGAAGCTGAAGTTGAATGGTTCTATAAAGATCTACAAGACCTTCTAGAACTAACACCCAGAAAAGATGTCCTTTTCATGAGAGGGGAAGTGAAGTCACTCAGTCCTGTCCAACTCTTTGCGACCCCATGGACTGTAGCCTACCAGGATCCTCAGTCCATGAGATTTTCCAGGCAAGAATACTGGAGTGGGTTGCCATTTCCTTCTCCAGGAGATCTTCCTGACCCAGGGATTGAACCCGGGTCTCCCGCATTGTAGGCAGATGCTTTACCGTATGCAAAAGCAGGAAGTCAAGAAATACCTGGAGTAACAGGCATATTTGGCCTTGGAGTACAAAATGAAGCAGAGCAAGGGTGAACAGAGTTTTGACAAGAGAACACACTGGTCACAGCAAACACCCTCTTCCAACAACACAAGAGACAACTCTACACATGGACATCTCCAAATGGCCAATACCGAAATCAGACTGATTATATTCTTTGCAGCCGAAGATGAAGAAGCTCTATACAGTGCGCAAAAACAAGACTGGGAGCTGACTGTGGCTCAGATCATGAACTCCTTACTGCAAAATTCAGACTTAAATGGAAAAAAGTAGGGAAAACCACTAGACCATTCAGTATGACCTAAATCAAATCCCTTACGATTATACAGTGGAAATGACAAATAGATTCAAGGGATTAGATCTGATAGAGTGCCTGAAGAACTATGGACGGAGGTTCGTGACACTGTACAGGAGGCAGTGATCAAAACCAACCCCAAGAAGAAGAAATGCAAAATGGCTATCTGACGAGGCCTTACAAATAGTTGTGGAAAGAAGAGAAGTGAAAGGCAAGGGAGAAAAGGAAAGATATACCCATCTGAATGCAGAGTTCCAAAGAATAGCAAGGAGGGATAAGAAAGCCTTCCTCAGTGATCAATGCAAAAAAAAAAGGAAAACAATAGAATGGGAAAGGCTAGAGATCTCTTCAAGAAAATCAGAGATACCAAGGGAACATTTCAGGCAAAGATGGGCACAATGAAGGACAGAAACAGTATGGACCTAACAGAAGCAGAAGATATTAAGAAGAGGTGGCAAGAATACACAGAAGAACTATACAGAAAAGATTTTAATGACCCCAACAACCACAATGGTGCGATCACTCACTTAGAACCAGAAATCCTGGAGTGAGAAGTCAAGTGGGCCTTAGGAAGCATCACTACAAACGAAGGTAGTGGAGGTGATGGAACTCCAGCTGAGCTATTTCAAATCCTAAAAGATGATGCTGTCAAAGTGCTGCACTCAATATGCCAGCAAATTTGGAAAACTCGGCAGTGGCCACAGGACTGGAAAAGGTCAGTTTTCATTCCAATCCCAAAGAAAGGCAATGCAAAAGGATGTTCAAACTACCACTCTATTGCACTCATCTCACAAGTTAGTAATGCTCAGAAGTCTCCAAGCTGGGCTTCAACAGTACGTGAACCGAGAACTCCCAGATGTTCAAGCTGGATTTAGAAATGGCAGAGGAACCAGAGATCAAATTGCCAATATCCACTGGATCATAAAAAACAACAACAGAATTCCAGAAAAACATCTACTTCTGCTTCACTGACTACACTAAAGCCTTTGACTTTGTGGATCACAACAAACTGTGAAAAGTAGCCTTAAGAGCACATGAAATACTGTCTCCTTTTTTAAACTCTTCTAGTGACAAAAATAATTCATGCCTATTGTTAACAACTCAGATGATGTGAAAGTGAATAAAACACAAGTGACAGTTTTCCTCACCGCTGGCCTCACGAGCCACTCCAGAGACACTCTTGGGTTTGGTTCCTGTCCTTTCAAAGCTTCTCATCCCGGCAGAATCACGCACACACAGCCCCACGTCCAGACATCCTCAGCCTGTGTATGTGTGTCTCTGCCACTCAACAAGGTGCTGCGGAAAGTGTCTCCTTCCTTCCTGCCATCACGACCCCTTCCACAACGGCACCGATGGCCTGCATCCTTCTCTGCACCGAGCTCCTCGCTCTCCTCCACTAATGGCTCCACTATTAGTTCAGTCATGCACCTACTGAAGGACACTTTGGTTTTTCCAAGTTTTTGTTACATTTCATTCAAGTGAATGAAATATGGATTCTTTTAAGTGGACCAAATGGCATGTGCTTTTAATTAATGACAGATACTCCAAAAGCGGTAAAGCCCAAGTATTCATTTTCCTGCTAACAGTGCCCATTTCTATGACCAATATTTGATTTCTGCCAATCTGGTAAGCAAAAAAAGGGTACTGTTTAAACTTCTATTTCTGTGATTAAAAAGAGGTTCTAGGTGGCTCAGTGGTAAAGAACCTGCCTGCCAATGCAGGAGACACAGGAGATGCAGGTGCAATGCCTGGGTCAGGAAGATTCCCTGGAGGAGGAAATGACAACCCACTCCAGTAATGCTGTCTAGAAAAATTCCATGGACAGAAGAGCCTGGTGGGCTGCAGGCCGTGGGGTTGCAGAGTCAGACACGCTCAGTATGCACGCAAGCATGTTCCATATTAGAAACGACATATGATTTACAGATGAAATGATGCACCCGGGGTTGTGTTAAAACACCCGTGCAGGCGGGCGCCAGGGAGGCTGGCTGAAGCAGTAAAGGCTGGGCACGAGGGGCTCCTTGTGTGACCTTACTTCTATGTTTGTGAGTTTATGCGAAGGGGCTCCCAGGTGGCCCTGTGGCAAAAATCTGCCTTCCAACGCAGGGGACGTGAGTTTGATCCCTGGGTCAGGAAGATCCCCTGGAGTAGCAAATGGCAACCCACTCCAGTGTTCTTGCCTGGGAAACTCCATGGACAGAGGAGTTCTGGCAGGCTACAGTCCATGGGGTTGCAAAGAGCTGGACACAGCTGAGCAACTGAGCACGTGTACAGTGCATAGCCTATGAACAGTTCCACAACCAAAAACTTCACACACATGTAGGATGAATCCACCTGTGCATGCCTTCTCTTGGTGGTTTTCAGGACCGTCTTCAGAAGACGAAGGAGCTAAGCAGGGCAGGATCTGGCTTACCAGAGCTGAGGCTCTCTTTGAAGGCCGCTGTCACGTCGTCACGCACGCCCAGCAGCGGGGAGTCCAGCATGGACAGCAGCTCCCCAACGCTGGCCTGCTGGGCCATTCTCTGACACGAGTGCGCTCTGCGGCTTCAGGACGCGCAGCAAAGACTGGGAAGGGTCTTCATCGCTGCCACTGCCAGACTGAAAGAAAGAAGAGGAATGCTGTGGTAAAATGGCCCCATTTCCCCCACAAGACCTACTTGCCAGACAAACTGCGCATGTGTTCAAAGCAGTGAAGTTTGTCCAGAACACTGTTGATAAAAGCAGCTAAGGAGTGTAAATAACGGGGTTCTTGACAAATTTATGAAGAGGAGTTCTAGGCAATGCAACAGAGAGAAACCTAATTATTAAAAAAAAAAAAAAAAGACACCCGTTGGAATCATCCCAGAAACTTAGTAACAGGACTAAATCGAAGTTTTATTAATTACTGCTGATTCTACCTTGGGTTTAGGCTTCAAATCACTGATCCAAAGAGCAGATAAACCATTTTCAGAAGAACTGAAAGAATGCTATCTTCTTGATAACCCCATCAGTGTCTAGAAGACAGTATGGCCAGTTAGGTCACAAGTGTATGAGTTCGAAACCTGACTTCAACCAGGGATGGTTCCTCTGTTTTCAGTTTATGCCCCTCATTTCAGACACCGATCCCACACTCCAATGCTGCCAGTTACAGCGAAGTGGGTGTGAATGAACAGGGGCATCAGGGCAAAGCCCGCACCTTCAAATGCTCAGTTCTCTATGGCAGTGAAGCAGTCACTTTATGTAAAAAAGCAGCTCACTCTCCACGTGTCACTAGACACACTTATAGTCGTTCATTTCTCCCCACTATGGTTTTTAAAGCTGTATTTGTAAAAACAGCTAGCATTTCTTAGACAGGCACTGCACACCCTTCACAAACATCATCAAATATACTCCATATATAACTACAGTATGATTGGTTCTTTTATCCCCCGTTTTACAGGGAGAGGAACAGAGATCAAGCTATTTGCTTAGTGTCACAAAGCTACCAGGAGGCAAAACTGGGGAGAACTGAAATTTGACCCCAAATGTACTTCACTCAAACCCTAAGTCCATAAACATGACATTAAACTGGTGGTTTTGATCATCACAGTGACTGTAAGGCAGGCAAATATTATCTTTATTTTACAAATCAGAGTATGGATATTCAAAAAGGATAAATAATTCTGCCAAGGTCCCACAGTAAAGCAGAACTTAGATGGCTCAGCTCTTAGACCAACAACTGTATATGTCACTTGCAGCCATTAGAATATGTTCTTAATTTGTTTTTGCTTGTCTTTCAGTAAGCTCAAATAACAGTTCTGAGACTGGCGGTCCAGTGACTAAGACTCTGTGCTCCCAATGCAGGGGGCCCAGGTTTAATCACTGGTCAGCGAACTAGACACCACATGCTACAACTAAAGATCTTGCATGCCTCAACTAAGACCCAGCATGGCCAATTAAATATTAATAAATAAATAAAAATACATACTTAAAAAAAGGAACAGTTCTCAGGCTTCAGTATGTATTAAAATCACCTGAGATCTAACTTTCTCGGCCCATTTCGGAACTGAATTGTGGACTCAGGAATTTTCATTTTAATAAGCACTCCAGGATAATTCTTTCAAGGGTAGATAAGCCCCATTTGAGAAACACCACACTAAGGCAAAACTGTGCTAATGATGAGTTAAGCTCCTCCTACTAGAATGCCAAATTTAAAGGAGCAATGACCCCTGAAACTGGTGAGTATTAACTTATTAGTACCTATGCTCTTGTTTAATTACAACCTGGTGATATTCACTGATTTTTCTCTTGATAAATCAGAAATTCATTAGCCAGAAAGATCAATTAAAACATACAAATGAATTTTTGATAGCAAATATCGATATAGAAAGCATACTGTATGTTACAAGTATAATACAAATTTATATTTACATAAGTATAAATCTGACAGGTAAATCATAAAGGAAGTCATTTCAAAGGACTCAGAAATATGAGACCATAATCAGTAAGGTTTCACTGTAAAAGTTCAAAGCTGAAAACAGAAACAAATTTCACCTTATTGTAAGTTGGATTAAATTAAATTTACAAGTGAATATAATACCAGCCTGTCCGGGTTTATTGTCCATCGAGAGGATTAAATGAGGTAACCTATATCACACAGTTAAGCACAGTACCTGGCAAAATAAACACTCACTGAGTGGTACTCACGTATCATCATTATGAATGCTGATGACAATCTTTGGGTCACCACTTTCAAAACGACTTTAACAGCACATTTGTCTAGCTGATCCCCACATTCATTTCTACTTCGGGTAACTCACAAATGATTCTTAGACTTAAATGTATTTGGCCCTAAGTTTGGTTTCATGCCAGTAAAGCGGATGCTTACCTTGTCTCAGGCTAGTGAGGCTCCTGAGTCTGTCTTTTGTGTGCTCAGAAGACAGTCGTGTCAGAGCTGCTCCTCCAAATGCAGGCAGCCCGGAGCAGAGTGACTAAACAAAGATGGCGCCCATCCAGTCAACTTGGCGGTCCTCAGAGCTGACCGTCACGGACCACCTCACTTGTTTTTCAGATTGTAATTTAGGTATAAAGTCTGATTTCTGGAGGCTACTCTTTCCCAGTGCTTTACAGAAAGCAAAAATAATGTTTTAGTCTAAAATACACTCGTACATTTTTTTGGCAACAAGCTTTTGTTGCTTGTCTCCTCAGTTCTAAAATTCTACCTTTCAATCATATTTTTCTAATCCCCAGGAAAAATATAAATCATGGGCTTTTTGTGGGATTTTTCACTTAAGTGCCTCAAGTTCGAGGATTTTTGACATTCTAAAAAGCCCTCTCTGGAGTTCAATCATAAGCCTTTGGAATTAGTTCCATGACTGTAATATCTCTCATTTTTAAACTTATTCAAATATTTCCTGAGGGGTTAAGTGCAGGGTGCTAAGTAGGGAAGAAAGACTTAGCATGTGCCATGAAGAACCAGACACACATGAGCAGGAAATGGACACGGTTCAACGCATACAGAAGGGAGGGAAGGGACCAGCTCCAGCTGGATCTGGTGTGAGTGGGTGAGCTGCACACGTGTTAAACACACTTTACAGCCTAGAGGACACAAGGGAAAAGTCACTGAGAGGTTAGCACCACAGGCTCATCAGGCATCACTTTGCCATGAAAGTCTTGCTTCCATTTTGGAAGTAACCATGCATAGGAACAGGAGATGGGAGAGCCGAGAGTTCAGTATCCAAGTCCACACATTTCTGTATCCTACACACCAAAGCAACGTTTTGTTTTAGTTTACTATTACTGTTGGGGGTCACACAGCACAGTACAGTGCTATCAATGATGTCGTTTATATCAGGGAGTCATGACTTTCAATACACACTCCCCACCCCAAAGCCTGTCCCTCTGCCAGCTTCCTGGACCTCAGTAACAGGCACAACCGGCAGTCTACACTGACGTCTAGCTGACATCTTTGACTCGTCCACCACTCTAACGCTCACATCTAATCCGCTGGCAAGCCCACTGACTTCCCCTTCTGTTTCACCCCAGTCCGAGCCCCAATCGTGTCCCTTTCAAGACAAGGGACCAGCAGTCTCCATCACTCCTCTCCCCTACACCACCACCAAGATGCTGAAACAGGGAAATCAGACTCCACTGTTCCCATGTAAAATCACCCAGCGGCTCCCCATGGAGCTCACAAGAGTCAGCTCCCCTGCGGCTGCCAGGCACAGCTGACCGAGCGGCTGTGAAGTGCCACTGCCCCCGGCCTGCTTCACCGCACCCTGCCACCCCCTGCTCAAGCCCCAGGCTTCTGAAGCTCAGGCCTCCGCGCCTGCTGCTGCCTCCGTCCTCGGGGTGCTTTTCTCCCAGAGCCTCGTGCTGCTGTCGGTTTCAAGCCTCTGCTCAAAACGTCGCCGTCTTGGAGAGGCCTCCCAGACCACCCAATCTAAAGCAACAGGGGGGTTCTAAGTCACTACTTCTGAATAAACCAGACTGAACCTCTACACTGGTAACCAGGTTTGATCAAACAGAACACTTAGCATGGTCTCAACAAGCATGGAAAAGAGGGATTTAACAAAGTTTGATTTTAGCTTCTATTTTTGGTCCAAATCTGGCTGTGGCCTTGGTCTGTAGGACTGAAAGGTGAACGGTCAATCACCCACTTTAGCAGCATTTCTGGGACCCCTGACTGTGTATGCGTGACCAGCAGGACATGTTAATGTTACCGTCATACATAATCCACACAACGTCTGTAATGTGGACAGGCAAGCATTTAGGATTACCGTTAACGTCGGAACAAAGGGAAAACATTCTAGATGAAACATCTAAGCTTTGTGTTTTACAAGTGGAAATTCCTCAATGCAATATTTATTCATTTATTATTATTAAAAATAAAAGCTTCAGTTAATATGATTTTTATGTTCAAAAATAAGGACTTTCAAACAGTTAAATATATTAATGAATATCAACAAGGTAGGTTCACTAGATAGCTTTACAAATAACAGTAGTTATTCTTTGAGCCAAATGTTTATAAAACTTTTAACAATACTTGGCTACATGACAGAAATTAAACTATATTTTAACTCTAACTTTTACAGAATTTTTACATTTATTATAAAAAATAATCACTTAATAACTTCATTTAATTTGTAACCCTAATTTGTAGTCTTTCAAGAAAAAGTTGGATTTGGGAACACTACACGTCTTGTGAAGGTGAATTAAAAATAAAATGCCAGCTTGTTACCTAAATTTTAAAACACGCAAATAAAACCCCAAACCACAGTCAACAATACCTACGATAAATAATCTTCAAGTCAAACATAAAGAATATGAAAAAAAAACAATGTTAAGAAGAAAATGAAATACTCAAACACACTTTACACTCACTAATCAAAAATTTCAAAACAGATTTTATAAACTGTTATCAGAAGACAATTTCTTGTTGTTTTTGTCTTGTATTTTGTGTCTATGGGGGCTAAAAATTTAAACAAAAAACTTTTCAAGATGACTGACACAGGTTGTCAATAACTGTTAAGGTGGCTTTAAGATAAAGGACCCCTGAGGC